TTCGTCGGCTTCTCCGGCTCCTCGCCCAACACGAGTGGCCGCGACGTCACCTCGTCCCGCGGATTGCGCTCCTGCCTCCGCCTGCCTAAATCAAGTCCCTCAACCGAGTACACACAACGAAGAAAGTCCGACAATTTTATTTAGCATAGTTTTATCTATTGTAATAGAGGACCCAATTCAACAACAACGGACGGCCGCGCCGGCAGTCGCTCAACGCCTCGCGCGAGCTGCGCCGCTTTGCGCACGATTTGCCGTCGTTTGCCGCGCTCGGATTCCAACTCTGGGGCAGCGAGCGCCTCTTTTCGGCGCTGGCGCCGGCCGCCGACCATTGTAGCGTCCAGGACGTGGCTGAGGCCGTGCTGTGCCTCAAAGGCGTCTCGATGAACGCGTACGTCAACCTCCAATTTGCGTCGCCCTTGACGCCGCGCACCAACGCCGACGATGCGGCCGCCGTCGCGGCCTGGGAGGCGCTCGTCTTTCCCGACTTGGCGGCGTGTTTACGCCGGCGAGCGCATTTGGTCGCTACGATGGCGAGCGAAGGGGACGCGCTCGTCGCGCTCACCCGCGAGCTCGGTGCCAACTACAGCTTGAGCCTGCTCAACGTCGCGGGCGCGAAGTTTTTGTATGCACCCATCACGTTTACCGCAGGGTTCCTCGACATCTCGGGGACCCGCGCCGGGACACTCACGTACCAACTCATGGGCCGGGACCCCGCGGCCGTCTACTTGGTGGGCAGCGGCCACTTGGATGCGCTCTTTGTGCCGCGAGAGACCGCATGGTATTGTGCGATTCAATATGTTGACCCCTCCACCCACGTCAAGAACGCCACGCAGTGCTTTGCGCATCTCGGCGCGACGCTTCCCGCGTTTTTTTCCGGCAAGTACATCTCCACGTACGCGGGCACACGGTACATTGACAGCGCTGACGTCGTCGCGTCGACCATTCTCGGCAACGTGACGCTGTACACGTGGCGAAACGCGCCGTCGAGCAGCAGTCTCGACGACCGCCTCGTCACCACGCGCGGGCATTGGACACGGCTGTGGCAAGACCTCGTGCATGATAGCGACACCGCGCTCGAAGAGTTTTGCCTCGTCGGCGACGGCTGTTTCGACGCGTGTCGGAACGAGAGTGCGAGCGGCGGCATGACGCTCACGTTCATGCGAGGCGGCACATGCGTCTCGGCGCCCAATACGATCGTGTATGACGCCGGCGCCATCTTCACCGACGCGGCGTGCATCGGCCGGGGCGACCACCACATCCAAGTCACGTACCTTGACAGCGGTGGCGTCCGGCGCCGCACGGTCGTCCACCACACGGCGGGCCCCTTGGCCATCCTAACGTGCTTCATTGGCGGACGGCCGCCGTCCATCGAGCTACCATCCCATGTCATGGAGATTCTCACGCAGGGGCCGCAAGCGACGATCGCGATCACGGTCGGCAACGGCAGCGAGACGATCACGCTCAACTTTATCTCGCTCCTCTCGCTGTTCGGCGACGTCTACTTTGCGGTCTCGGTGGCTCTGCACATTGTACGTACGCAGAACTATGCACGGCGCTCGGCCCAAGGGCGCTACAGCCGCGCCACCTGCAACGTCGGAAGCGTCGTCTGGATGCGCCATCGCACGGCCATGTGCGGCGTCGGGCTCCTTGGCCTCGTTCCGTGGCACATTGGCGCGATGCACTGCGCCTGCCAATGGCGGGCGGATGCCACGTCCTCGATCGAGGCCGATCCGAGCTACGCCTGCGCTGTCGCGCCGTGGGGACATATGGCCAATGGCTGGGAATGGCTGCGGCTCGTGTCGTTTGCATGGACCTTCTTTGCGCTGATCGGTATGGACAAGGTCCCTGGCGTCACGCACCACTGGCAAGGCTACCTCGTTGTCGTCGTCCTTCTGGGCTTCATACCGTTGACGGTGCTGGCGGCGCTGCTCGGCTACTGCATGATGCTGCGGATGACGTATTTCCCGATCGTGCACAGCCAGTTTGTGCTGGTGGCCCTCTGGTGCACCGTGCTGACCTTCATGCGCAGTTCGCTCGCATCGCCGTACATGCGCCTTGTGGAGGCGTGCTTGCTCGCCGTGGGGCTCCGCCCGCAGCGCATCGACCGGCGCAGTCTCTTCCATAGCCTCGTTGGCGACGTCTACTGGACGAGCGCTGCGAGCTATCGCCCGACACCAGCACGCTATGTGCCCCTGAGCTTGCTCTTCAAGACACATGGCGTCGACCTCGACCTCATCCACGACCATACGTACTACCCGAGTGGCGTTGCAAGCGCGCTGCTATCGCAGGCCTCGCACCCGGACTGGGTCGAGACCGAGGCCGAGTACTTCGTCTGCGCGCGCGGGTGAAGATCGCCATGCGCCAAAGATCGCGACGCCGGCGCATCCGGATACAGCAACAGAGTGTTTGTATGGGTCGGTGGAACAGTCCGGATAAGCCGGGCCCATTTCCACATATTCGCTCCGACGGCCGCAGCAGCATGCACGACGTTGACATGACCGGCGACGACGACGACGTCGAGGTACCGCGCTACGGTAGCCTCAAGCGCGCGCCGCCCATGGAGGCCGTCGTCGAGCACAAGCTCAAGCGGCTCAAGATCCAGCGCGCGTCGTCGCCGGACGGCCATCGGCAGCAACTGCCGCCCATGGCAGCCGCCGCACACCACCAGCAATACCACGAGCATCGACAGCGCCAGCACGAAGAAGAAGAGCAACGTCAAGCAGAGCTGCACCAGTGGCAGTACGAGCAGCAGCACCAACATCACTACCACCACCAACTTCAAGCGCACACGAGCCAGTACCTGACGGCGCTGCCAGCACGCTACGACCCGACGTCGCCTTCCGACGTCGACTATGCGCGATCGAACCAAGTCTTGCGCGACCTCCATTTCCAGCGCGAACTGCGCAAGCAGATGACGCCGTAAGAGTTATTTACAGCAAGAGCCGCCCACACGCTCTCGTTGCATTATCTTGCATAGGTAGGTCGCGTAGACGCCGATGGGATCTTGCCGCATGCAACGCAGAGGGTGCTGTCCATGCTAGCGTACTTCCGGCGCTTCGATGGCTTGCACGAGGGCGGCGGGCGCCGCTATCTCTGTCCCGAAGTCACCGAACGACGAACGACAGCGATGATGCGTGGACAAAAGAGTCCCTCTGTATTGCGCGGAGCAATTCTTAGTGCCAAGTACTTTTAACTCATGGTTACAAGGATGACGCGTCCACGTCGACATCCTGGCCGCCGCAGGGGTCGGCGATACCCGAGATCTCGACGCCTGTGATCGACGCGGCCTCGGTGGTGATGATGCAGCCAATGCGCGACGGCAAGCCCATGCGCCGGCCTTGGGAAAACGTCAGCGGTGACGTGGCGCGACCGTGGTGCAGCAGCAGCGCGCCGAGGGCACCGGACGAGGTGCCCGTCGCGGCCTCTTCGTCGATGCCAAAGCGCGGCGCGAAGTTGCGGCACTCGGCCGTCACGTCGTCTTCGTCCGGCGACAGCGTGAACACGTGCATGCCGATCGTGTTGTGCTGCGTCGAGAGCGCTGCAATCGCCGCCATGTCCGGGCGCATCACGTCGTGCAGCACATGCGAGGAGGCGACGTGCACGAAGATGTCGGGCAGCCCCGTCGACACGATCGTGATCGGAACGTCGCCGAGATGCGCACGCGGCAGGTTGAGCGCGGCAAGGATGGCGTCGACGTCGGCCGGCGCGGTGAGCGGCCGGAACGTCGGCTTGGACTGCTCCATGCACACGCGCCCGTTGGCGTCGACGACAACGCGCAGCGACCCTTGCGTCGTTGTCTGCATGACGTAGCTCGCATTGCGGGGCATGGCCGAGAAGACAGCGATCGTCGCGTGGCCGCAGAGGTCGACCTCGCCCTCGGGCGTGAAGAACCGCACGGCGACGACGTTCGGCTCCGAGGTCAGGACAACGAACGCCGTCTCGGAGAAGCCGACAGCCTTGGCGACCGCCGTCATGACGCTAGGCGGCGGGAAGCTCTTAACGCGGGCGACGCCAGCCTTGTTGCCGCCGACTGCGCCCGCCGTCGCGACCAGCGAGTTGTAGTGCTCGACGTGGAGCGCCATCGAACCTCGAAAATGTGAAAATGACCGGCGAGTGAAGCATGCAGCTCTCCGCCATTTTGCCCTACTCTCTCTCAAGAGCTCAACACATGTATTTTACTCTCAAATAGCTCTCAACCGAGAGTAATTTAAGCTTGGTTTCAGTATACTATAGTAATAACCCTTGAGAGTAATTTAAGCAGGCTCATTGTATTGGGCATACAAAAATGGAATAAGAGTAACTTGAGAGCTCGAGAGCTCGAGAGTAACGACGCCGTTTTATTGCCTAATTGTATGCAGCATACAGAACGAAATGAGAGATATCCGAGAGCTCAAGCGTTCGTTGAGAGCTTGACATGAACACCAGCGAACACAACCCAAAGCAGCGTCGCCAAGGTGTCATGTCCCTCAAGATCCTGAACTCTGACAAGCACAGCAGCCTGCTTCTCATCAAGCGTAGGACCATAGGTCGCAACGATCTTGCTCATGTGCAAAGCCTCGTGGTTCCGATTACCTCGAGAGACAACGGCACGCCCATCTGCGGGCACCGAAGAACCGGCCAAGATCCAGAAGGTCCGATCCAAGTACATGCAGCGCCTCTTTCAGCGCGATTCCATGTCGCAAGACCGCAACGAGCTGCGTGCTTACGAGGCCATTGTTTAAGCCGAGGTTCGAGCGTACCTGCTCCAGGAAGGTGCAAGCGATGGTGACCCGCTGGCTTGGTGGCGCCTTCACCGTCACAATTTTCTGACCATCGCCAAGCTGGCTCGGAAATGGCTTGGCTGCTCAGCAACCTCGGCTCAATCTGAGCGCGTCCTCTCGGGCACAGGAATAACCACGTCTGGCCGGCGTGCAGCGCAAGACCCCGACACAGTTAACGTCATCACTTTCCTACACGATACTGCACAGTAATACACGAGAAGGAGCGTTTTGAAGTTATACTTGGTGCGCACGTGGTCAAGTAGTGAGATTTCCCTTCCTTCGTGGACTCTGCGGAGCTTGCTCGCTCATCACAACGCAACGCAGGACTGTTTACACTGACCGGATAACTGTCCGGATAACTGAGAGCTCATTGAGCTCTCGTTACTCTCTCTCAGCTCTCAGCAACTCTTATTCTCTTCTCAGCTCTCAAACGCTGAGAGCTGCATTCTCTACCGGCGAGTGGCATTTTCGGATCCAGCTGCCGGATCATTGCTGGCTTCGGCACCATCACTCATGTCCAAGCCGTGTCGCAAGATATTGGTGGTGTCAAATCTAAGCTACTGCTTACAATGTTAATCAAACGCTTTGGCTTGCAGCCGGGACATGGGACCTAGAGCCCAGAGGTCGCATTGCAGGTGACCCCGCCTACGGCCACCAGCTTCAGCGTGTGATTGCGATTGCTGTGAAGCGAGGTCAAGTCTCCACAATAATATTGTTCAAGTGCCAGGTACCAGTACTGAGCGCGGCAAAGTGTTGCCATGGTCATTGGGGTTGGTGGTCGTCAACACGTACTTCGATACCCTCCTGACGTTCGAGATTGAAGGATGACAGCATGTAAAGTGCATCCTTTCGATGTTTTAGTTTAGTGAGAGGTATTAGGTAAATAAATGAGATCATACAAGATAGCTCGCGCTTAAAAGTCGTCGAGGCACGTAAAGTTGGTCACCTTGGGGCGGTCGTCGTACGTCATCTTGGTCTTCTTGCTGTTGCGTGGGCTGAGCGGGCTGTGGAGAAAGAAGTCGGCCGACTGGGAAAACTCGGACGGCGTCCACTTGGTCAAGACGTCGAGCTCCTGGAAGGTCGGAAGCGCCGACAACGCCGCGAGCGTTGGCGCGACGGGCACCGAGTACATGGGCTGGGTCGTCCAATGGACAGCGCTGGCACTGCTGATGTTGGCGTCGCCATACACGACTTGGCTAATGGCGCCAAGCGTCGCGGCGAGGCGGGTGAGGGTGATCGTCTTCATGTTGATGTTGGTGGTGGTGGTGGTGGTGGGCTGAGGCCCGAGAGGTAAGTTGTTCAATGGTGATGTCTCTTGTCGAGATGTTCGGGCGTCATCTGCAGCGTCCTCAACTGCCCACTGCTCCGTGGTTGGCCACCAGTACGACCGTTGATAAGAGCGCTTGACAGTTTCAGGCGACCACATGACGTGGCAGAGCCACGGAGCTGGTTGGCTGAAAAGTTCACTTTCAGATTTCCGCAAAAGCTCCAACAACAACAACATGAAGACGATCACCCTCACCCGCCTCGCCGCGACGCTTGGCGCCATTAGCCAAGTCGTGTATGGCGACGCCAACATCAGCAGTGCCAGCGCTGTCCATTGGACGACCCAGCCCATGTACTCGGTGCCCGTCGCGCCAACGCTCGCGGCGTTGTCGGCGCTTCCGACCTTCCAGGAGCTCGACGTCTTGACCAAGTGGACGCCGTCCGAGTTTTCCCAGTCGGCCGACTTCTTTCTCCACAGCCCGCTCAGCCCACGCAACAGCAAGAAGACCAAGATGACGTACGACGACCGCCCCAAGGTGACCAACTTTACGTGCCTCGACGACTTTTAAGCGCGAGCCATCTTGTATGATCTCATTTATCAACTAAATTTATAAAGACTAAAACAGTGTATTACCCCTAAACCAAGAATCCCCTGATCGATTGCCCGGTTCGACGAGCAACACGACGGTTACCATCGTCGCACACCTCTTTTCCCGCAACGCCAAACAAGACAGCCTCCTCGTGTGGGCAGCCCCTATCCACACCGGATCGTCCCCCGTTCTGGCTCGAGAACGTTGATCTGGTGAGTGGTATCTTTTCCTCGGAGTGGGCACGTCGGTGGGACGTGCTAGGGCCACCCAGATGGAAACGCATGCATCACCACACAAACCCCACATTTCAACCCCACTCTATTAACCTTGCCCACATTTTATTAGCAACTGGACACGCGCAGCCTGCAACCCACGTCGTCGTGTGTACTGCTGCCTGTCTTGCTTCTGCTTCTTAGAGCCAGGGACGTGCACCGACTTTTGCCGTCGACTCTCGCGCTTCAACATCCTGTCCGGCCCAACAGTTCAGTGTTTTTCGAGGACGCTGCACGTGTCAGCACCGCGCACGCATGCGCCTTTGCTAGTATGAGGTGTTTTGCCATCCCTGGTATGGAATCTACATGGGCAATGACGTGTTCTTGACGACTTTGCCCTTTGAAGCGCACGCTGTCAAGTTGAAGTTGCTTTCGCGGCCCGGCTACCGCACTTTATCGGGCTAAGGACGCGAAAGTTCTTATAAGTGCGTATGTTCTTTGCGCACTTAGTGTAATGCTGGTTTCTGATTGGTGGACGCGTTTTGGGTGTTTCGGGCTCGTGCATTTCGCCAAGGTGACAGCGCTTACTGGTCATGGGGAAGCGGTCGCCGAGCCTGGACGCCGATGGCATCGACCCGATCGAGACGAGCCCGTCGCGACGCACACGCTCCCGCCGTGGCACCTACACGCATGCCAGTGACGGCGACGACGACGACGAAGAGATGACGTCGTCATCCTCGACGTCGTCGGCCAATGGCCGGAGCAGTCGCCGCCGCCGCATGCGCGCCGTGCGCGTCGAGGGCCATGACGGCCGCCCAAACCAACTGCTCGTGTCCATGGCGCCGAACGCCACGTCGAACGTCGTGTACTTTCCGGGCGACGTGCAGAATTTCGAGCACCGCATGCGCAAGAGTCGCTTCAAAGCGTGGACCGCCTACTCGTACGAAGCGACCGCGCTCTCGCTCGCCGACAAGTTTCCGGACGCGACGATCTGGATCGTGCAGCCGGCGACGATCTTCCCCAGCGGCGTGAGCTGCTACGAGCACTTTCTCGAGCCCGAGGACCCGGCCAACCCGATCGCATGTACATTGATATAGTGCTGCGCCTTGAGCTCATCCAATTACCGGATCGTAGACGTCCCACACGGCCATGCGACGCGACATCTTGAGCGCCTCATGGAAAATGCGTCCGAGTGCATCGACAGTAGGCGCCGTGCCTCTGGATCGGTCCTGATTGCGTGCGCGTAGACACGGCCTACTTGCGGCCCGACCTGCCGCTGCACCTCGTTGGCTTTAGCCGGGGCGTCGTTGTGCTCAACCAGATGATCACAGAGCTGGCTGCGATGCCGCCCAGCACACCTCTTGCCTCGCCGGCCGTGCGCCATTTGTTTCAGCACGTGCGATCCTTGGCCTCTTTTCTTCCACGGAGTATTCAAGTCCATGTAGGTACTTTCGATCCACTGGGTGGATGGCGGCAACGGCAGCAGCGCCGGGGCACTCCCGACACACTCCCTCGCGCTCTCCGTTCTGAGTGACTTTCCGTACGGTCTCGATCCTTTTCGATCTGCGAACCAAGTGGCGTAGGAATCTGGGCCTCCATTTGCACTGGACGCCGTACCAGATCGCATCCCGTCTGCGTCCGTGGATCGCCCAAGAGAACGTTGCGTTTTGCAAGACGATGGAGGGCCTCGGATGTCCCCCACGTGTGCTACAGTAGGCCCTCCCTTGGATTTGTGTCGTCCATGGCTCATGATCGACGGTAGGTACTTTAGCCACACACTGGGCTCGCTCGAGGACCATTTCGGGATTCTCGATGCTCTCCAGATATTGCCATCGACGGTCGTCGACGATGGCGTGCCATGACCGAAGCGTCTGTATTTATGGTTGCGTTTACTGCAGCACGCAGTCTTCTTTCCGGCCGCCGGGCGTCTTGGTCGCCGCTTGCAAATTCATGCGGCGCTTGGCCTCGAGCCGCTCCTGGAGCGCGCTCAAGACGGCTTGGCGTTCGTTCAAGTCGAGTTGCAGCGACTTCAATTCGCCTAAGCCGTACAATATCAACATGCCAACCCGATGATATGCGGTTTCAATGGGGACCTTCGTGCTTGGCCTTGACCGCCCGAATCTCGGTGATCGTGCGCGTCTTGAGCTCCTGCGCCTGGTCTTCGCACTCGTGCCGCAGCGTCAGAAGCTTCTCGTTGACGGCCTGCTCGGCCTTGAAGGTCGCCAGCATCTGCTCGGCTTGTTGGTCGCCGAGCTCCCGCTCCAGTGCAATGGTCTTGTGCAGAAGCTCCTGGTGCGCGGCCAGCAGCGTCGCCTCCTTGGCGTTCTTCATGCGTTCTTGCTCCAACCGCTGGTTGGTCGAGTCGGCGAGCAGCGACAATTGCTCTTGTCGCGCCGCCTCGAGCGCGTCGTCCGCGTCCGCGCACTCGGCCTTAGCGCGCGCGAGCTCGTCGAGGAGCCGATCGTGGGCCTCGGCGTGGAGCGCGCCAATGCGCTCGATTTGCATCGCCGTGCGTGCAATCTCGGCGGTCTTGTGGTCGATTTCGGCCGTCAACGCCATCTTCTCGTCGGCCATGCGCTCCGAAATACCGAAAAGTGCGCGCTCAAACGTCTCCCGCTGCTGCGCAAGCATGTCTTGCGCCGCCTGCGCCTTGCTCTCGAGCATCGAGACCTTTTGCTTGATACTGCCGAGCGCTTTCTAAGAGTACCGTAAACATTGAGGCGCTTTGTATACAGTGCAATGTGGACATACCTGGGCCGCCGTGTCCTTGGCTCGAAACGACATCGTCACCGCGGTGCCCCACTCGACAATACTGTCCATCGCCTATGAATATATGTCGTCCATTTAGCACATGACAAGTCCATCCAGTATGATGCGAGAAGAAGCCGAGTACCTTGTCGGCGAGGAAGCCCGTGAGCACGTACGCATGCAGCGGCAAGGCCGACGTCGCGACGTCGTACGCTTCCACGAGACCGGCCATCGCGATCTTGTAGTTCTTGAGGGTCTCGTGCAGCATGGCCACGGGGCTCTCGCGGTCCATGGTCACCTGCGCCTTGGCCGAAATCGGCGCGTAGAGCTCGTCCAGCAGCCGCCTCTGATGCGCCGTCGCCCGCTTCATATTGACCTCGAGCGCGCCACCGAGTTGTGCGTCGAGCCAGTCGCCCAGCGTGTGCAAGACGGACGCGAACGCGTCGCCCGCAAAGTCCTGCGCCCGCAGCACGTTCTGCGCGGCTTCCTGCGCGACTTGAAAACTTGATACAAGCGTCGCTTCCGGCACGGCGTCGCTGGGCAGCGCCAACGCGTCGGTAAAGGCGGCCTTGGCCGACTCGAGCGCCTGCTCGCTCTGCGCCGCGACGACGCGGTCCCACGCACTCGAAATGACGGGCGTTGCGCCGCTGTTGAACGCGTCGACATAATTGCGCGCGAGTGTCACAAGCATGGCTCCGGAGAGCGCCTTGGCCATGAGCTTCTTGGGCTTGAGCGTCGAAAACACCTTTTTATGGAGCGTCGTCAGCTGCGCTTGGAACTCGGGGCGCAGCGACTCGAGCGGCTGCTTGGGCAGCTCGCGCAGCAGCAATTCGTCGTTGAGCGGGCGGACCATGGTGAGGCAGTCGCGGTCCGGAAAGAACGCCGCGAGGAGCGCGCGGACTTGGTTCTTATGCAGCGCGTCGTCGCTACTGCCGGGCTGCGGCTTGAGGGCCTTTTCGAGGTAGTCGCGCGGCGTGATCGCCCGGCCTTCCTCTTCGAGCTGCAGCGTAAAGTCGCGCACGACCCACAGAAAAGAGGGGAAAAAGTCGGCCAGTGACGTCGAGCTGTCGGCGCCGCCCGCGCTCACTTGGATGTACTTGGTCAAGTTGACGACAAGCGAGAGGTCTTCGATTGCGTTGGCGTCAATGACACCGCGGCTGTTGTAGATGAAGAAGGACGAGAGAAGGAGCGCGAGCGCGAAGATGCGTGTGTCCTGCGTCTGGCTGCGCTGGCTCGAGCCCAGGCCCTCCGTGTCCATGAAGATGATCGTCTTGGGCCGCGACGAGGATGATGTGGCGGCGTCCATCGGCTGGCCCCAGATCCAGATACCTTTCGTCATCGCATTGACCGTGCCGCCGACGCCAAACATCGTGTGCTCGGTCGTGCGCCCGAGGAGCTGGTTGAGCAGGTACGACTTGCCCGTTCGGTAGAGGCCTGCGATCGCGACAATCGAGATCTCTCCTTCGAGAGAGCTCAAGTACGAAGCCGCCTCGGGCGAGATCTCGAACGTCTCATCGTCCGTGAGCGTAATGAACGGCAGAGGTTCCGAGAGGCCGGCCATGCTTCTCGCGCTGTTCCTGGTGGAGTACACGGCCAGTCAGCTGCGGCGGGTGCCGGATACGAGCCGAATGCATTGGATTGGAATTGAATTTACTTGGGGTATGTAGGAAATTCAATAAATGACAACCAGGAAATGGACCAATGGCCTTTGCGAATGGGGCAGGGCAGCCTCTGATTGGCCAAAAGGCCGTGTGCGGGTTGCGTATATCCGGAAGGCGCGTTGCCGCGTTAGGATATGCACACCCAACCGAACCACGGCCTCCGAGCGCGCCACGTCAAGCAAAGCTTGGCAGAAGGACCGTCGACATCGCCCCGACGTCCTTAGGTCTGCCTTGCGCGCAGCTCCATGGGCCATGATGCCATGCGGCTGTAGAGGTGTGTGCTTTGAGCGTACCTGGCTCGTTTCCGCTGCTTCGCAACTTGCCTAGCTCACATACCAGCTGGATCATGGACGAGGCCGCTAGTCTAGCTACCTCGTTCATCATCATCGACGCTATCGCTCTTGCTATGTGCATACCAGGACAAGGCTGGAGGCGAAACATACCGGTATTGGTGAGAGATTCCTTTGCAAAAGAGATGATTTCCTGGCCGACCAAAGTGGTCCAGTGACTGAGAATTCTTCTGTGCATGAGCTGCCGTAGCATCATCAACCACCCTGCGCCTCGTCGTCGTCCGTTGTGCAGGATAAGTACCGTGGCCAGGAGGGGAATTATTGGGTGTTTTTAGTTTTGCATTGGGCTCGCTTGCGACACGGGGCCAGATGGACGCCGCCGAGGAAACCTCGCCCATTCACACGATGGGCAAAGCCGAGACGACGATGAGCAAGCAAGTGCCATGGGCGTACCTGCGTAAGGGCGAATGGACCATCTTGGCCGAAGCCGACTGCGGTGCGCTGCGTCTCTGCCACCAGCTTGTGCTCATCGTCGTGGATAGCGGCGCTCGAAGCGTGCAAGGACTACGCGCCCGTGGTCGTCGACAACGGTCGCCTCGAGGTGTCTGTGCCCGACCGCACGCTGCGCGCGCTGTACTGGGACGAACCACCGTGCCCTGTCGTTCGCTCGTACGCCGCCTCTGCTGCGCGTGCTACCGTCGACTCTCACTGCGTAGCGATTGGATTTTTGAGGCGACGAATGGCAAGTTCATTCCGCTGCCCGAAGCCGAGGCCATGGAGATCAACAACTTGTGGGCGATGCTGCCGACGTCGGTACATGTGCTTTCCAGGCCCTCGAACCCCGTGCCACCTGCGATCCAATCTCGTTATTAGGAGACGCACACGTTCTCGGTGTCGGTCGTCGACCACATGGGCGGTATCGCGACCAAGACCGGCAGCACCAAGGCGATTGCTGCCACCAAGCTCAACGAGCTCTTCGCCAAGTGCTCGCCCACAGGTCAGTTTCGCTGCAAGGCGCTGCACCACGGCTTCCACGCGTGGCCGCGTCTTCGCTCGCACGTCGACCACCTCGTCTTTGTCGTGCATGGCATTGGCGAGACGTACTGCAAGAAGCGGCTGGCGCATGGCACGATCATTGACCAGTCGCTCGTGCTGCGCCAGAGCTCCGAGACGCTTCTGAGTTCGCACTTTCCGGCAGCGGAGAACCGCAGCATCGAGTACCTCCCGGTCGACTGGTCGGATGTGCTTGGCGATATGGTACACCAGATTTGGAATCTGACGTCTGAAATCTGAAGTCTGAAATCTGGATCGCGTAGGGCGACGATGTGCATGCGCTCTTGAATCGCATCGCGCTCGACTCGATGCCGTTTGTGCGTCAGCTCACGAACGAGCTCCTCTCCGACATCCTCCTCTACATGGTAGTCGATTATGGACATGATTCGTCCATGTTCGGCCATGGTATCCACAAGTGGTGACGTAGGCGCGTCAAGACAGTGTTCTCTCGTTCGTCACCAAGTACATGAACGCCCGCTACACGTACGTACTGCAACACGACTCGTCGTGTTTCGCGAACGTGTTTTGACGGGTGCTCTCTAGTCTGTACAAGGAGAACCACCCTGACTTTTCGGGCCGCGTCTCCATCATGGGCCACTCACTCGGAAGCATCATCACCTACGATGTACCTCTTCGCGCCACTTGTTCAACGAAGCCACGTGTGCTGCTTAGTTGCTCGCCAAGCAAGGCGACTCGTGCGACCCCGACTTGTACAAGAACACAACTCGCCCCCGCTTCGATCCACGTCTTCACGAAACTTTGTAGCGCGCTCGCGTTTTCCCCGTACGCATTTTTTGCCTTTGGCTCGCCGATCGGGCTGTTCCTGACGCTGCGCGGCAACGTGCACGGCATGGATCTCGCTCTGCCGACGTGCGAGCTCATGTACAACGTCTTCCATGTATTACAGTACTAGTAGACCGAGTCTTGGCTAACAAATGTGTTTTTTGTAGCCGGCCGACCCCGTCGCGTACCGCTTGGAGCCGCTCATTCACAAGGACGCGGCGATTGCGGCGCCCGTGCGCATTAACACCGCGTCGGGCTGGCGGCGCATCCACCACGTACCCAGATATCGAGTGTTGGCTTGAGGTGGTGATTGATGTCCTATGCAGGTCGTGCAAGACATGGCCGACTCGTTCGAGTCGAGTCAGAAAAAGTTTGCGCAGACCATGGAGCAGACGTTCAAGGCCTTTTTGCCTAAGGACGCATCGCCGGCCATCGGTACGACATGCTCGGGTGGAGCGAAAACGAACATGCGGATGTAGAGCCGAGCGCTGCGATCGACGTGACAGCCGACGCCAACGCGCTGCAGAAGGCCGTCTTGAGTCGTTTGAACCCCAAGACGACGCGCCTCGACTACGTGCTGCCTGTACGCATTCTTGCAACACAAAATGGGGTACTGAGCGCGTGTAGGAGTCGGAGATGGAGGCGCTGACGCCGCTTGCCGCGCTCACGGCCCACACGGGGTACTGGTCGACGACCGAGTTTATCTTGTTTGTGCTCACGCAGCTGCTCGGAGACCCCGTCGATGCCGCGCAACAATAAGTCCTCTCCGTCGACCAGTCATGAAACAAAATAAGGTGGCCGCGCAGAGTCCAGTGCAGCAAGATAAGGAGTCATGGAGAGATCGTCGGAGCTCACCTCGGGCGTTGTGCGCGAGCATCTGCGAGCAGCCTCTGCGCCGTGCATCTTGATTGCTGCAGGTGCAGGTGCCGTGCGTCGTTGAACCCGGCGTGGAAGCGTGGAGGGTGACGCCAGCATGATTGTCCAGGATGGACACTCGGTGGACTGACGGTTACGAAACGCTTTTGCAAAATGGATGGCTGGGATCGTCTGCAGGCGTCGATGATAGCGCCGCGTCCTTGGGCCCATCCGACGGGCCGTTTTAGTAGCTTAATCGTCGCTTTACTGTGTCCCGCTAGTAGGTTCGGTTCCACGCCGCTTGTATCTGCGTCGCTTACAGATTACGCGGACGAGTGTTTTCGTTAAGTGCGTGTTGACGGTGCTTCGATCTTCGTCATCGAAATAAAAAGACGTCGCATAGAGACAAAAGGTGCGATTTGGAAAAATCAAAATAAATCGTGCGCGATGCCGTGGCTGCACCGCAAGGTTCCAGAAGCCAAGAGCCCCGGAAGGCGCCGAATGAACGAAACGAACACGAGCGCACCAGTCGTGCCATGGGCCTACATGAAGCAAGACGGCGAGTGGACCATCTTTCCCAAGGAGGACTGCGGTATAGTACTATCCCATCAACACACAGCCTCATCATCCTGCGGACTAGACAAGCTGGAGCATGCCATCGACGGCAAACCCGTCGTCGTCAACGACGGCCACTTCCAAGTCGACGTCAAGAACCGCGTCATGACGCAGCTCTACTGGGAAGATGACGCGGTGCCCGTCATGCGCTGGTGCAAACGCGTCTCAACGTGGCAGGCCTCCTCACACTCATCGTCATCATCATCGTAGCAATTGGCTCTTTGAGACGCGCAAGGGCAAGCTCTTGCCGATTCCCGAGCCCGAGGCGAATGCAATCTCGGCGCTATGGTCGGCGCTATCGCCAGAGGTGCGATGCCCTTCGGCGTAGTACGTCATCATCATCATCGTCATTGGTTCTACGATTAGGGCGAGCACCATTTCTGCGAGACGATCAAAGACCACATTACGGGCCGAGCGACCGTGATGAGCTCGGCCAAGCCGGTCGACGATGTGCACGATATGCTCAACAAGTCATTTTCGCAGTGTACGCCGCGCCAGAAGCACCGTCACTGCAAGGCGATCCACCACGGGTTTGACCGGTGGGCCGACGTCGCGGTCCACCGCAACGTCCAGCACCTCGTCTTCGTCGTGCATGGCATTGGCGCGACGTACGCTATTCAATATTGCACGGGCATGCGTGTCGAATGAGGAGAATATGTCGCTAGGTACGACAAGCGCAAGCACGGCAAGGGCGACATTTATGGCCAAGTAGCTGAGCTGCAAGCGAACTCGGAGGAACTCATCGCCAAGTACTTTGAGACGCCGGGCGACGCCGACTCGATCTTGTACATTCCCGTGGACTGGTCGACAGTGTTTGAAGAAATGGTGGACGCCAAGGCATTTCTTTCAATCTCAAATGTTGTGCATGTATAGGGCGACAACCTCCACGCGACCTTTGACCGCATGGCGCTCGACTCGATTCCCAACATTCGCGAAATCTCCAACGAACTCCTCTCGGACGTTCCAGTCTACATGGTATTGTACGATGACGCGAGTGTTATATTATCCCAACGGTCGATATTTATATTGCGATGCATAGGTGCGCCAAACCCAAGTGCTGCGGTTCGTCACCAACTACCTCAACGTCCGCTACACGTATACACATCAGCACGTGATGACAACCAAGTCTCTGATGGCGGCGTAGGCGCTATATGGAGACCCATCCGGGTTTTACTGGCGACGTGACCGTGCTGGGACACAGTCTTGGCGGCGTCATCTCATACGATGTACGTTGATATGTGTATTGGTGTCCACTGCGCGCTCTCACCAACAATATATATTCTAGTTGCTGTCGATGCAAACCGAGACGCTGGACGACCCGGCCTTGTGCGCACTTGTTGGCATATATTGTACTTGAATATTCATGCATCTTGTGTAGGAAGCTCGCGTTTACGCCGACCACGTACATTCAATTCGGCGCCCCAACGGGCTTCTTCCTCGGCCTCCGAGGCAACATGCAAGGCGATGCCATGGTACTGCCGGGCGTCACCAACATGTTCAACGTGTTTCACGTAATTTTCCCGAACCACGGAGCCCATTCACTGCTAATTTTACTACAAATTGTAGCCGCTCGACCCCGTTGTAAGCGCCAACACTCACCGCGGGTTTTGGAGATTGATCCATTAGGCCTATCGCTTGGAGCCGCTCATTGACCTGCAATCGACGATCACGCCGCCGTTCCAGGTCGAAGCCGCTGGGGGCAAGAAGCCCCTGCACATGGTACTGTACTGCCTTGCGACTCGCCGCGCGGTGTGTTCTGACAACGGCGTAGCGTCTCCAAGACTGGGCCGATAGCATTGGATCGTCCAACAACAGCAGCAGCACCAAGACGTCCTTGGCCACGCCCAACCAGAGCGAGCCCGACGCCGACCCAGGTACTGGTCGACCTTTGGGGCAATATCCATGGAGCAAAAACTATTATACAATTATAGCCGACTCGGTGAGCGTCACAGAGCGCGTCGTCGCGCGCATGAACCCCAAGTTCCGGTACCTCGACTTTGCCTTGCCGGTATGCTGCCGTCAATATTATCATTATTGCATCTCCAGTATTGATCCTTGTGTAGGCATCGACGATGGACGCGTCACTGAGCATGGTGGGGCGGCGAAGGCTCACACGTCGTACTGGGGCAACCTCGACTTTACGTACTTTGTCGTCAGTCAAGTGCTTGGCAAGACCCACCACCGTGATGGCAAGCAGGACTGAACGACTTGGTGCTAAATTCATTGCGGAATAAATATTGACACCCTCGGCGCAATGTGTAATATTGGAGTTTCGGTGATCGGCAAGGTGATCGGTCCACGCACAACTGGACACATATCAACAACACCACGAGGCGCCACGCTTCGTTTATATTCTCATCGAGTCGTACACTTGCATTGCGACCGCCGGTCGTGGCTGGGAATGCTCGTCCTTTACACGATCAACTCTGCTGTGGCTCGAATCAGATCCATAATCCTATCAACTATTGGTATAGACGATGGAGGACGTTCGCTCGCAGTTGCGTCGTGCCCAGCGCCTGTTGCGGGATGTGTCACACCATGGATCTTCCCGTCGTCAAGAGACGAGCGCTGAGTAGCTTGCCATGAGCACAGTCCGTACGCTCGCAGCTTGCCACGTGGACGGTCGTGTCTCGACCAGCATCCGAATCGCGCCGAAGCACCGACCACGTCCCCCGAAGACCAAGCTTTTGCTCGACTTCGCGATGCTATTCCACGCGCTATACTATCGTCGAGCCATGTGATGTTGGTAATCAGACAAGGTGAGAACTCGCTGCACGCCGCAACGAGGTCGCGAACAACTATTAACGTTAGTTCTTACATCTGACCCTAGCCAGCTGTGTCGTGCATGCGTACACAATCAAAGTGGTCAGTGCTCGTCCATATTACTGCTGCAGTGGCCGATAACGTGCAAACCAACGAGTACCGGTACATTCTTTTGATCAAAGGCCGGTCGTGGTTGGCGCGATCAGCCGCCAGCGCCTTGCTGGCGGTTGTACGCTGCCAATTGCTGGTATTTCCAAGAACCCAGCCGAGCGCTTTTACATCACGTCCTGGAGCGTCGGACTGATTTGGGCTTTCGAAACGCGCATCGTATCGACCCATCGTCGGTCAGCTGCGTCTCTCTTGACAAGCTCGCTGCGCCTTCTTGAATTGCCCGTCGATTTTGATGTCGGGTCGGAATACGCGGCCAACGTGAACATGATGATGTCATTTTCTCGAGTGTTGATAGCGCGCACACTCGGCGACTCACGCGTTGGAGGTCGTTCTTAAAATATCACTCGGCGTGTCATGCTCGTACACTGTACTCGGTTTGGATTCGTATATCTACGCACACACAACACAAATACAACTGCAGCGCGAAGTTCCGACAACAGTGGACGGCGATCTTTTTTTGTGATTGAAATAAATATTGCCACGATCGATCAATATTTCCTTGCGCGTATTGCCGCGGAATGGAGAAGGCGGGCCTTTCGCAGACATGTATTACCAAGATCGCGAGGCACGACTACGAGCTGGTTCGATTAGTGTACTGTAAACCAAGCCTCCTTGCAAGAGAAAACCTAGAAGACATATCGCAGCGAAACGACGTCACGACGGGACACTCGTGTCTCGACATATATATATATTTGAATAGTGGTTGAGGGCGCGCCGATATTGGATGGTTGCCCAATATATATTGCACGAGCCTCGATCGTCCATTACGACCCGACTGCAATTCTTCTTCTTGTGTTGCTCCGACGCGGGATCGTGTGTCGAGCGTCGACGGATGCAAATCCATTTCGCGTGCGTGGACGAGCGAGCGAGGATGGAAGTCTTCCCGCGCTGGCCTCATTCGCCACGACTCGCCGCTCGAACCGATCTTCGTTCTGAAAATATTGGTCGGCCATACTACATGTATTATGCTAGTCAAGAATATTATATTAATATATATCGCTCGTTCTTTCTTCGTTGAAGCTGGGATTGGCATACAAGCGTTCAGTGCAGTTGCGAGATATTGGCGGCCGCAAATAGAAATGAAACACACGGCGCTGGGGGTTGCACTTCGAAGAAGCTAGCTCCCGGCTCTTGGTGGGGACGGGCGCCGAAAAACATCTTGGCTCTTGTATGCTTAATGGTTGGTGGGCACCACTGGCGCCTTATGTCACACCCGCATGTAATCGCATTGGATTCGTATCTCTTGCAGCGCTCGGAAAGAATGAAATCATGCAATTAAATAATACACCACGTGGCCAATCCCGTCTTTTAAACACAACCATCTAAACAAACGAATAGTATTATGCGCCTGTCTTTTTATTCCGCACAGATATTGCCGGATCGTTCCCGAGTTCGAGAGCGCGACCAAAGTATTAATTGTGGATCGTATTAATATTATAATATAAAATATTTCGAGAATATATATTCGAGCTCGGCACGAATTACGGCACCGGAGGTCAGTTTTGTATTTCCCACGCCGATGACAATCGAGATCGAACAGGCCGCCACCGTGAGCATCCTCTACGACGCGCTCCTCCAGAAGAAGAGCAACTTTTGCCACACCAAGATGGTCGAGGAGAGCAAGAAGCTGCTCACGTGCAAGCGCGACGTCGACGAGTGTCTTGAGCGCATCGACGAGATCGAGGAGCAGCTCGCCGACATCAAGAGCGAGCTCCCGGACGACGCGCCGATGGACGATGACGCCTTTGTGGGCCACGCCGAGGCCCAGGCGCTCCTCTCGGAGAAGAAGGAGGAAGAGCTCCTCCTCATCCAAATGTCCAAGGTCTACGAGTGCAGAAAGGCCACGATGCGCATGCTCGTCAAGCACAAGTCGATCCTTGACAGCTCGCGCAAGTCGCTCCGCAACCGCCAGCGCCGCATCGTCGAGAAGGCCTTCCGCACCGGCCTCCTCGCGTGCCAGTCGTAAGCGACTACTATCTTATTACGCGCAGCCGAGTCGCGCCCGTACCATAGCCCCGCATCCTTATTTAACAGAGCGAACCCTTCTGACCTGCTACTCCACGACGCTATCTGTTCCTGCGCAGGCCGTGCGACGTCGGTCGTCGTCCATCGCGGGTCGTCCGGCGCACGGGCTGTTACTGCGTTGACGTGGGAAAGGCGTGTAAAACCCGTGTAAAACCCACGCGCGGAACGTTCGGGGCCGAGTAGAAACCGGGCAGCACGTGGGAAACGTACGTGAGAAATGGCTGCCGCTGACGAAATCCGTTTGCATCGCAGGCGAGAAAAGCGGGATAAATAATATTGCGGCGGTCGTCTTGGTACGAATTATGGTGCTAATTCGTTCTACTACACGGGCCGACGATGATGCGCAAGGAAGACGCGTGTCGACGAGACAATCGGCCGGCGATGATGATAGTCGATCAGGATGGCGCGTGCGAGCGAAGCTGCACACTCCCATGTCCGCAACGTCAACGTCTCTGCACGGCTTGCGATCAGCGATGGTATTCCGCGTCGCAATATAATACGATCCGAATATTATTATCCCATTTCGAGTCTCTATTTTATTCTTTCGAATATTATTAATATGCGGACGCCGCTACGGAAGAGGCATTTCAAAGATTACCGAAAAACGGTCGTGACGGTCGGAGGCAGTGATCATGAGGGCAGCGACGATGATGATGATGATGGTGGTGGTGGTGGATGGGTCGAGTGCCATGCGGATTGAAGGTGATTGTCGAGGTCGTTGTGCCATTCTTTGACGAATAAAATAAAGTATTCAAGAGACTTCTGCATTTTTGCAGGGTACTACCGCAACCCTGGCAATCATCGCAGCCCTCGCCACCCACCTCCATTCGACCAAGGTGTCCAGCAACGTGCGCATCGCGTCCCACGTCTGCGCTCATTCTTGAAGTGTCGGCTGCTGATATTAACGCCACGACCAACCAAGGCTGCACTGAGGTACACGGTACGCGCGACGATCCATCGACCACGAGCAAGTGGACGCATATCACAACACCTCGTTTCTCTGCCACGCGGCTGGGCGATAGAAACGCAGCACCATACAAACACTATTATTATGACGTGGCGCCATGAAATCTCGAGGGGCTTGAAGACAAGCCAATCTTCGTGCCGTGCCAGCTCGCGTTGACGGAAGCGATGCATGTTTCTGCAGCCTTCATCGAGGACGCGCAGAGGAGGCGCTGGTCGACCCAACACTGCGTGATCTTGAGGAATACTACGACAAGTACAATTCTCCCAACCGCATGCCGCGTGCTTCTCTCGTGCCAGGTTCACGACCGTATCAGGGTCCGCTATCGAACAACGTCGACCAAGGTGCCACATTCCACGGGTCGTGCTTGCCGTCTTCGCAGGCACTCGCTTCTTTGCTCCGTTGAGAAAAATCGAACCAAGTCAAGTCGGCTTGCAATTGAGTCTACCATGCAGGATCCTGCAGGCGTTTGCCAAGAACTACAATGCACTCCGAAGCGCCAAAAGCCAAGGCTACGTCAAGCACCAATGTGATACAAGGTCCCTGCCACCTCCAGTGTACGCCAGTGCATACCACGCTAGCTTACAAAGCTCCTTGAATGAATTTCTACGGAATGTGGTCGTTGGTTTCCGTGCAGGTGCACGGAAACCAACAAGCACAATCCACCCATATCTCGGGGCTGCCCCGAGATTTGGGTGCTTTTGAAAAGCGCACAGGATCTTGGTAGACTCAAGTACATTCCAGTTCTCGGCCGTGGATCGGTCGGTAGAGTGCAGTCGTTGGTGCCGAAACGATGCTCTCGTCGTGATGAAGCCCACTGATGGCGTTACCGACGAAAATGTGTATCGATGGGTCCATTTGATATTACATAGTTGAAACTCTGGGTGCTAATTGTCTTCGTCGCCAGGCTTGCTATTGTCCGACTTGTGCTCCATGTTCTTGTTCTCCGTGTCTTCGGCCTCCTTGATCATGTTGAGGAAGTTGGCGTCGACGCTTCGGAGCAGCTCCTCCATTTTCTCATCTTTGGTCGACGGCAGCTCCTCGACCTTGCCGTCGTCCATCGTCGCCTTCTTGCGCTTCTGCTCCTTCTCGCGCGCCTCCAAGTTTTTCTCCCGCTTCGTTTCGCGCTCAAACATGCCGTTGATCGCGGCCTTCTCGTTGCTCTGGGGACTGGCGAGGCCGTCCGACACTTCGAGAAGCGAGATCATGCCATTCGAGTCGCCAACGGCCACGAGCTTCCCGCCCGACTGCGCATTGCCCTACAGCCATCTCCCATTTCCATTCCAGTATCAACTTGATACATACGGTACCTGCACAGCAATGGACGAGAGCGGCACGTCGCCCACCTTGTGCGAGTAGGCCGCGACGTTTTGCCGGTAGAAAAAGTCCCACACGTCGACGACGCCGTCCATGCGCGTCACGAAGAAGACGCCGGCGCGCGTCGGCGACCAGCACCCGGCTGTCACGTACGAGTCGTGGTACGTCGTGCTCATGATAGGGGTCTTGAGGTCTTCGCACCAGACGCGCGCCGTCCAGTCGCCGATCGTGAGGAAGAACTTGTTGTGTGTTGGGTTGCGCTGGACCGTGTAGATTGGGCCATGGTGCTTCCCCGCGCCCGTGTCGTAGACAGTGATACCGTTGTTTTGCTTGATGTTGCGTAAATTCACAGAGAGCACAATCCCTTGCTCGGTACCGACGAGGTACTTGGTCGGGCCCGCCTCCGTGTTGTACTCCATGGACGAGCCGCCGAGCACTTGGCCGTCCTTATCGGAGAGCATGATGCGGTGCGTGGGCTGCGCGAGGTGGCGAATGTCCCACCACAGCATCGAGCCGTCTGTCGAGACGGACACGCATTGGTTGCCGGTTTTCGACGAGATCCAAAAGACGTCGTAGACAGGGTCGTGGTGCGAGTGTTCGATCATCGACGTCTCGACGGGCGACGACCCGGATTTGCGGATGTCAAAGAACGAGATAAGGCCATTGTACGAGCCGCCGACGAGCTGGTCGACGCTCTTGGGGTTGTAGCGCAGACAGCAGAGCGGACTCAGCGGCTTGAGCACGACTTCCGGAGTGTTGGGGTTAAGTACGTCCCAGATGTAGCTGTTGGCAGGCATGCGGGCGTTCACAAACTTGGGGTCTTGAAAGTTGAGAATGCAGTAACACGCGGCCATGCGCTGGGGCGACTCGGGGTGCCAATCGATCTTGGACACGGTGCGTCGGACGCTCTCCGGGTCCCGGAAGACAGCAAGGCCCTTCGCGCTGGGCTGCTCTGTCGTCGCCGGCTCGCCCATGTGCGCAAAGTAGTCTTGGTAGATGTTGATCGTATTGTTCTGCTTGAGGCCGCGTTCGGCGACGGGACCGAGGAACTTGACCGCTTGCTTGTACTCGTCGTCCTTCTCGACCTTCTTTCGGAAGCGCTGGACGTCGTTTTGCTCGGCCGAGTCGACATCTTTAGGCCACCCACCCTCGACGTGGCGCATCGAGCTGTTTTTTGTAATGAGGCGCTCCGTGTTGACCTCGTGCTCGGACATGTCGGGCGTCGTGTCAAGGCGCGCGACCATCGGCCGGCGCTTGACGTAGTCGTGGTCGAACGAGTCGGTGGCCGGGATCGCTTCGAGCACCTTGGCCTCTACATGCTTGAAGTCGCAGTGCCGGCCAAAGGTCCGGCGCGGCTTGGTGTATTGGTACGCTAGCTCCATCCGCGTCGACCGATGTGCTACTGCCAAAAGGCGCGATCTTGCGCTTTGCGATCAAGAAAGGACGCACCAATGAAAAAGCGCGAATCTTCTTTTTTCGACCAATTGAAAAACGCCGATCTTTTGGCCAATGGCATCGGCGGCTTTATGGAACACGTCGACGCTCCTGCGTGCCATGTACTTGTGTACTCATGCCATGACCAAAACTCGACCAGCCTCGTTCGTGTCGAAGCGTTGGCAGCTGCGAGCCAGCCACCCAGAACTATACGTCGTTTTTACGATTACTGTTCGTGGACCCGTCTGTGGTAGCGCAATCGGCCTGCATGGAGGCAACGCCGGTGCAGACTGATGCTAGCACGCGACGAGGCAGCCTCGTGATCACCGCTGTCGTGAGGCAACGATACCAAGCTGGCGACTCGATGCTTGTCTTGTTGAGGTGCATAGATGTGCCACCACGATGAGCTCATGTCTGCGTCTCGGGGCCACTTCAATCCGCGCCTCAATGCGCCGCGACCGTGCCGGTTGGTCACGGCTCGGAGCGATGTGGCACAAAGCCTGTCACAATACATACACTGCCTCTATGCATCTCACCTTCTGCGCTGGCAAGCTCCCAAAACCCTTTTAATTCAATATCCTGTCCACAACCGATAGATGGCAGCATGGGAGCGCGACTGCGACATGCACATATCGGTCAGCAATTGGTCGGTTGGATGCCCAAACCCACCAATCCGAGGAGGCGGCGCCAGACCATGCAGCGCCGTAGGCGGTGGCGGTGGCGGTCGCTGTCTCTGTGGCCATTCCCCAACTCGAACCCTCCTCACCACCACCACCAAGAAAATGGTCCTCCAGTCCGTCGTCAGCTCTGTCGTGTCGCCCGTGCTCGTGACGTCGGCGGTCCTCATCACGATTGCGCTCCGGAATACGCACCCGCGCCATGTCTCCAAGGCCAAGGCCACGTCCAAGGTCATCTGGCACGGCTGCCGCTAAACCAACGCCTCTATTTAACAGTCCTTTGAATACACCTCGTATCCGTGTGTGCTCTGCACAGCGAGAGACGCTGTCCATCGTCGCGGCCGCCGCAGATCGTCCACCTCGTTCGCGACGTCGCGGCTTCGCCTCGATTAACCATGGACCGAGAGATCACAAGAATGCGCCTGACGTTACGTGCCGCAACTGTGTCAGCGCACTTGCTGCACGGCCGACAAAAATAGGATGGCGCCAACGTAATACCGCACAACTAGGCGCGCACCCCTCGCGAGATCGCAACCGCGGCTCGCGCCACGTGATAACCGTGGCGTCGTCGTCACCCGGTCCATCCCGGCGGTCGTCAAGCGTCGCCACGACGTACAGACGACGTGGATCCGATCACCGCGGGGTCGACGATCCATATATGGGCGCTGGGCATGGTCGTGGTCATGGGCGGTCAGCTCTACGGCTGGAACGTCGCCTTCACAACAGGCTTTCTTCAGTTTTTCCTTTGCCAATTCCTCACCGATGCGGCGTACGTTGTATGCATGGCGTCGGCTGCTAAAGACGCGGGCAAAATTGCCTTCTCGGGCGGCTCGTACGGCCTCGCGCGCATTACGATTGGGTACTACGCCGGGAGTCGGGTACTACCTCGAGCTCCTCGAGTACATTGCAGCGTCGTCCGTCTCGGTCAGTTCTGTGGGCATTTTTCTGGTCTACCCCGGCGGCTGTCTACGGCGCCATCTATGATCGGGCTCTTTCTCCTTCCGGGACGGTCCTACTGGCGCGGTCTCGTGCTCCTCGTGCTTCGTTGCCTCTTGCTCGCGATTCAAGGCGGCATGGCGTCGGCGGACCTCATTTTTACGGCGACTTTGCCACCAACCGCGTGTCCCAATGCAACGGAAGCGGGGGCAAGGTGGTGTGGGCCATGGGCAACCTCCACTCGGCGTACATTGCGTGGCTGCCGCACACGACATAGGCATTAGCAGGCATCGAGTCGCTCACGCTAGTGACGAGCATGGCATCGACGCCCAAGACGACATTACCGCGGGGAAGCCTTGCCGCGACGGCCAACTCGAATTTGCTGCCACCCATGCTAGGCTTGAAGCACACCACGTCGCTGCTCAAGCCAATGGTGTTTGCATCCTTCATTGGGTATCTCCTCTGTCTTCTCGGGTATTTTGCCTCGGCGTTTGAAGCGTCGACGCAGAACATCTTCATTTTGGCAGGCACCTTTAGCGACGGCTCCTCGGATTCATCCTGCTTCGGACACGGTACCACACCGACTCGACTGGGTTTGTGAGCCCGTTTGGGCTTGGTGGCGTCGTGTTTGCAGGCGGCGTGTACGCCATCTCGATCGTCGGTGGCTTCCAAGGCGACGACGGCATCGCGACCATTTCGCTGCTGCTTTTTGTGATGCTTTTTAGCCTCTACTACCATGCACACTGAACCAATCGCTCTCGAAAGACGAATATGCGTGCGTCTTTCGCTTCTTCGTCATGAAATTCAACGCCGAGCGGCTGAAAAAAGCCGCCAACCCCACCACGGGATCCACCGCAGCTCAGTGGAGATGCGCGGTCTCAGCTGGTTGCGTCAGGGCTCAAGCAGCACGGGCTCGACGAACTTGAGTGACTCGCGGGCCGACTGCGCCAACAGCTCGGATGTAAGGCGACACCACCACAGTGGAACCCACGTCGTGGTAGTTGTTGTTGAAGTGGGTCCCACGTCGTGGTAGTAGGGCGAACCAGTTTTACTCTGTAAACACCCAATTTCCTTGTACTCGTTGCGGAAGGAATCGTGCGAGAGTGCGTACACAAAATATCAATAAAATCCACTTGCATTCGCATCTCGACCGCGTCCTAGCGACCCTTCTGTCTTGAAAGGTCCGTTGTTGTAATGTAGTATGAGGATCTCGCGGCGTCGCAGCGAGATCGCGTCCAGGACCCTCGAATCAAGTCGGCCACTTTCTGGCCAACAAAAGTACACTTTGGTGCACGTATGCCAACGGTTATAGGCCATGCACTTGCAACTGAGGACAGCAATTCCCGCGCTGAATGCCTGATGCACGTCGCCGCTGACAGTGGCATGTCTCGATACAAATACAAAGATATGACGTGGCAGTTTCTCGGATCGCCTGTCCCACCTGGCACCGTTTCATTGGTCATAGCCTCAACGCCGATGACTCGGCCCAACGCATGCCCATGCGATGCTTCAAATTGTTGTCTGCTTGTATGCAATGCGTGCAAGCAAGCACGTGCGCGCACCCAAGTCGCAGTCGTTCTAGCCACAAAACCTCTGAGATCCGATCCAACCGCAGGATTCGAGAAGCTTCGGCCGGTATCCAATTTGAGAGGTTCCTGAAAGGCGACCGTTGACGACGGGAGCCATTTTCAGCATCATGGCCGAGGAAGCCAAGCTCCGCGGCAACCGGTTCTTCACGGCCGGCCAGTACCTCGAGGCCGCCGACGCCTTCACCGAGGCCATTGGCCTCGAGCCCTCGAACGCCATCTTCTACTCGTACGTAGCAGCAACGATACCCTCTCCGCGCTCATGCACATGTACAGGAACCGATCGGGTGCGTACCTCAAGCTCAACCGCGGGCAGGACGCGATCGCCGATGCGAAAAAGTGCATTGAGCTGCGGCCCGAGTGGCCCAAGGGCTACTCGCGCCTCGGGACGGCGCTCTTTTACGTCAAGAAGTACGCCGAGGCCAAGGCGGCGTACGAGCGCGGCCTCACCAAGGACCCGAACGACGCCAACCTCCTCGACGGCCTTCGCAACGCCAAGGCGCAGCTGCCGGACGCGGTTTCGCTCAAGGAGCTCACGATGGCGTCGCCGCACGCCAAGTTTCGTACGTTCCAGTTTGGCCTTCGAAGCCTCATGGCCGCGTCCTTTCTGCTCTACTGGACGGCGTGGGGCAGCGCGTCGACGGCTGCGTTTGCATTTGCGACGTTCTTCAAGCTCGGCGCGGCCAACTATGCGAGCTTCCTCGCGTGGAACCACGGCAAGCCGCAGATGAACGCAGCCTACGCACAGCGCGTCGTGACCGACCCGACGACGCAGGCGCTCATGTTCTGCCTCCTCTTTTGGTTTTCGAGCCCGTACTCGATCGCGCTGCTGCCCATCGCGCTCAACGAAGGCGTGCACTTTGCGTCGTTTGCCGGGTCGCTCTTCCTCTCGCTCGGGTCGTCTGTCGGCGCGACGTGCTTTTCGCTTCTGGACCCGATCATGCCCTACTACCTCGGGCCGCAGACCGCGTGGCACACGCTCAACAACCACGGCAAGTGGGCCGCTTTGTACCACCGCACGCCGCAGGTGGTGGCGAACCTCGACGTGGGCATTGGTCTCTGCCTCATCCTCGAGCTGCTCACGCCGGCGCGCAACTTTATGCTGCTGCTCATCTACTGGCAGCTGCTGCGCATCCGCTACATGATCTCGCCCCAGCTCAAGAACGCGTTTAGCCAACTGGACATGACGCTCTCGGCGCTCGTGCTCCACCCGCGCGCGCCCACGATCCTCGCGACCGGCTACTCGAAGCTCAAGGACCTCATGGCCAACATGGTCAAGATGCCGACGCCCGAAGAGGCCCAGCAAGCGTCCGCGATGCCCAAGTGCTCGATCATGTAGATGTGCTACACTAGAATTCCAAGCTCTTTTTCTCTGCTTGGGAAATTCCGCAACAGCACGGTCAAACAGGGTGTGAGCACGCGGTACCTGGTAGCCTGAGCATCAACCCCCCTTGATGAAAACAGCCCATAAGAGTCGATACGGTGTCGATATCTCTGATCGGGCAGTTCAAGATGCGTGTACCACCAGGTAGAGCAGAGCTCGATCCCGCCAGGTGCCTCCCTTTTTGATGAAAGAATGCGAGTGCAGCCAAGGTGACAATCGAAGCAGAGGCCGCGACAGTGCAGCTCGTGGGTTCACCACCGCCAGCATATGACCAAGTAAATATTCCTTTCCATCAAGTGCAGTGTGCCATCAAGACACACCTCGGCGTCGACTGCTTGAACCCACTTGGGCTCGAGCGACGCCACAGTGAGGCCGGATAGAGCGTGTCCCTGCCAAGCCCACCGATGCACATGGCAACAGACCACCGCTGGTTCAATTGGAACGTCGACAGGTCGTACATTTTGAAACTGCTAGCATGCCCGCCGACGACACTCTGGCGCTCGCGACCGCCGACGATGGGAACGATCAATCGTTCATGACCGTCGAGAAGGCGCCGCCGAGGCACGCACGCTGGCTCTACCGCCTCGACGCCTTCATTTCGCGCAACGACGGTCAAGCCATCGTCCTCGTGACCCTCTGCATTCTCTTTGCGTGCAGCCTCGCGCCATTGGTAGTCTGGACGAGCGCGTTTAGCTACGCCAACGCGGCCTGGCGGGTGTGGACGTACATGGCCGACACGGGCTCGCAAAACGAAGCGGTCGAGTGGGTACGTGGCGGGCCTATGGACCGAGCAATATATATATTTGTTAGCCGGAGCGAGCTGTCGCGCTCGGCTCGACCTTGCTTGGCTTTGCCTACTTTGCCGTCGTCGTGGGCTTTGTCGTCGACGCGATCCGAGAAAAAATGGAAGTCCTCAAAGAAGGGCGGTCCCAAGTCGTCGAGTTGGGCCACACGGTGCGCTTCCAAACACGCTGTCTCGCTCGCTCGGATGACAATATTGTACACAATATTAGCTCATGCTCGGGTGGTCCGACAAGTCGCTGTCGTTCTTGAAAGAAATCTGCAATGCCAACGAGAGCGAAGGCGGCGGCACGGTCGTTGTCCTCGCAGAAGATCACAAGGACGAGCTCGAAGCGCTCATCGACACGCAGGTTGGTCGCGTTCTTAGGTACACGTATCATGATGACGTATTATTTGTAGCTGACCAAGCGGCTCGGCACGCGCATTCTCATTCGCCACGGGAGTCCGCTCATCATGACCGACTTGCTCCGCGTCGGGGCCCCCACGCGCGCAGCATCTGCGTCATGTCGACCGACGCAGATGCCAACAAGTCGGATTCGAACCTTCTCCGCGTCATCTTGACGCTGCATAATTTGCCTCAAGTATGCTCTTGTGCGTATTCCGATGACAATGAGTTTGGTGTCTAGCTGAATGGACACATTGTCGTCGACGTGTGCGACGGCGACAACGAATCGCTGCTCGAGCTCGTCGGCGGAGACGTGCTCGAGACGGTCGCGTCGCATGACGTCATTGGCGAAATGATTGTCATGTGCAGCCGGTCGCCGGGCTTGGCCAACGGTACTCACAGATGTGTGAATCCATGCGATATTGTGGACAATCTGTGTACCTGGAATAGTCTACGCCAGCCTCCTCGGGTTTGGCGGCAACGAATTCTACATTGAAACGTGGCCCGAGTGCGACGGCGTCCCCTTTGGCGAGCTCCACGCGCGCTTTCTTGATGCGATTCCGATTGGCATTCAAGAAGTGACGGGGCGCGTCGTCATCAAGCCCGCAACGCACCGTCGCATGGCACCCGGCGAGGGCATCCTCGTGCTCGCCGAAGACAACGACTCGTACAAGGCCGCGCCCCCCGTGCCCATCGATATGGGGGCTCCGCTCTCGCTGGAGCGTCCGCGGCCGTCGCCTCAGTGCATTTTGATTGCGGGCTGGCGCCGCGACATTCGCAATATGCTGCGGCTCCTCGACAAGCTCAGCGTCGCCGGTGCGACAACACATTTCACGAGTTTTCGGATGCCAAAATGATGTAGGAACGGTCGTTGTGCTTATGAACGACACGCCGATCGCCGAGCGCAACGCAACCTTCTTGGACGAAGGGTTTAACGTCAATAGCCTCGTCAACATCACGGTTCAGCACCGCGTCGGCAACCCCGCGGTGCGCCGCCATGTCAATACGCTCGATTTAGCTGCGTTTGACGCGTACATGGTCGTCGCCGATATGAACCGCGAGGTGAATATTCTCGACTCGGACTCGCACGTGCTCGCGACCGTCCTCACGATCCGGAGCTGCGAAGACGAGCAAATGGACAAGAAGGGGCAGCAGTACCTCGCCAAAAGCGTTCTCCAAGGCGTACTACAGTGTCGCATTCAGTTCCCATCGAAATGACTGGCATAGGTGCGCGCGCTGGCGCCGCGGCGCTTGACGCCGTGCATCGCCGAGGTCCTCGACCCGCGCACGCAGCGAACGATCGACTCAAACGAGCGTGTCCGACGCAGCAGCGACTTTATCCAGTCCAACCACCTCGTACTACAACTGCCTTGTACCCTCAGCAAGTCGCAAGCACGTCATGTAGGTGTCGCAGATGATTGCGATGGTGTCCGAGAACCGCCTCGTCAAAGGCATGTTGGCCGAACTCTTGGGCGACCGCGGTGCATCGTTTGATGTCGTCCCGTCCAAGCAGTACAGCACAGCGTTGGATGTGAGGAAGTTGACTGCGTCTCCGGATAGATTTTGCCGCCAACAAGAGAAATTGAGTTTGTTTCAAGTCGCGCAGCGCGCGCTTGCGGTGTCGGACGAGATTGTGTGTGGCTACCGCAAGATGGCCGAGACAACCTTTGTGCTCAACCCGCCCCAGAAAACGCGGGTCCAGACGTGGGACGCGTACGACTTCATCGTCTTGCGGGCCAACGACCGCCAGCGCCACATCGACATGGCCATGCGCGTCACCAACACGCTCGCGCAGCATTTGCGGCGGTCGCGCTTCCGTGACTTCATGCGCCAGCACTCGTTTGTCGAAAAAGAGGTCGGGACGACAGACGCGCCCAAGCCGCCCAAGGTCGCCTTCAAGAGAACCCTCGTCGCGAGTCGCCTCTACGACCTCTGGGCCATGACCGAAGAGCTCTCGACTATGGTGCGCGACGGAGTGTTACCAGACGACGTCTCGCGGGATCTCGTCACCGAGTATTAGCACGTTGCCCTTTGACGAACGAATGCGATATATTAAGGATGGCATTGGGCGAGTCCACATAACCTTGCCCTGATGTAATACACTAGTTGTATTAGCACTGACCACGCGAAGTCCTCCAGGGCGACTCACCTTTTTGTGCCAAGAGCCACAACCAGTGTACACGCCCTGTCAGAGCGCATCAGAGTCGCCTGCAAAAGGCTTTCGACGCAAGGATAGAAGCTCTCCCCAATCGGTGACAACCACATGGTTGTTGTCGGCTCGTGAAACCTCTGCAAGTCAACTTGGTTGCTCCTGATGGACTGCTGTGATGGGATGGGGTTGCTGCTGCTGGGCCAGGTGCTGGCTGGGCTTTGGTAAAGGCTTTGACTCGCTTGGACGTATCCCATTGGCTATTGACGGTCGGGAACGAACTGTCATTGGACCATTCTGTCTTGTCACGCGGGAAAGCGATGCGCCGCGCCTGCCTCGTTGCCATCCTCGCGTTCCTCGGCGTGGCTCGTGCGGCGCGTACGTCACCGACAACGTTGACATTCGAGCACTTTAATGAAGCTCTTGACATTTTAGGTGCAGTACGCTCGCTCGGAACACTGCTAAGCTGCTCATCTCGGGACGTCAACAGCTGCCTCTGGACGGGCCCCGACGGCAGCGCGGTCTCATCACGGCAACTGCTCCAAGCATTGGAAGCGACGCATCCTCAACTTTTCCAGCGGGACCGAGCGCTTGCCCACATGGAGTCGGTTGCGTCCAACCACCATTGTACGTCCTCTTCCTTGTCGTGCATGGAGCTCATGGAGACGAGGAGCCTCGGGCCGCGTGCCCTACGAAACCGGTCTCTCCGTTCGCCACCTCAGCGTTTATCGGCCTCTAGATGCGGCGTCTTTAAAGCCCGCTTCTGTCCATCGCATGCCTCGACGCCTCGAGCACCAGGCACCGTTGCATTGGTGCAAGCCGAGTAGAAACCCGCTTCAGAAGAACGTGTGCAGCGCCATCAAGTCGCAACATGCGTGCGGTAGCTGCTGGGCGTTTGCGTCGGCGACCGCCATCGAGTCGTCGGCGGCGATGCACGCAACATTTGTGCCCAAGCTCTCGGTCCAAGAGCTCTTAGACTGCAGTCGCGGCAACATCTCGGCGGCGATGGACTATTGCTGGCTCACGCCCGACCGCTCGGCGGCCGCGCCGTGGCTCGTTCGTCGTCTCGTTTGGCACGCGCGCAACGATGGCTGCGCCGGCGGCATGCCGTTTGGCGCCTTTGATTACGCCAAGACGCACGGGATCTCGACCGAGCTTTATCGACCGTACACCGACGCTGCCAAAACCAACAGTTCCGACATCAACGCAGCCAACGGCAACAGTAGCAGCGTCAAGACGGCTGTTGTCAAGGTGAAAAGTTGGTCGCAAGCCATGGGCCGCGATTGCAACACAAGTACCGACCCCATCGTTTTGCTTCAAACGGCGTTGCAGAAGCAGCCGTTGGCCGTCATCATCGTCTCGTCGGGCGACTTTGAGGCGTACAAGGGCGGCATCTACGTGTGCCCCAACAACGGAACGATCAAGTCGTCAAAAACCGTCGACCACGCCCTCCTCCTCGTCGGCTACGACTACGACCCGGACCTTGGTTTGTACTGGATTTTGCAGAACTCGTACGGTATGGATTGGGGCGAGGCCGGCTACATGCGCCTTCTCGCCGACGACAAGCTCAACTGCGGCCTGAATCTGATGCCATTGGCCGTCATCACGGACGCGATGCAGGTCGACGCCGAGCGCGTCGATGGAAACGGTGTCGTTTGGAACTTTCTGGGCCTCGATGCCGCGGCCTGGGTCGCGTCACTGGTCGCGGTAATCGTCCTCACGCTGCTAGCGACCATCGGCGGTGTAATTCGGTCCCGGCGTGTGCCTCACAAAAGTTTAGGCGAGCACTTGGTGTTGTGATTTGGATGTTCCAGAATGTAGTTTGAGTGATTTACACAATTCATCTCATATTTGCTCTGTGAGTGTTATGAACAAATGGCCCTTACATGCGACCAAACAAGGTGGCAAACTGGTCAAAGGAAATGCCGGACAACGTCGTCTCGGTCGTCCCGTTGGCCGAGGTTGAAACGAAAGGAAGCGCAGCGTCGCTGTCGTTGCGCTCCCGAGCGACGAGGTGCACCAAGTCCTCGTACGTCACCACATTGCGCATTTCGTGCATTGTCGCCTCCACGTCGGCTTTGGACAAGACTAGAAACGGACAACGTCATGGGACGCAACTTTTGCGTGACGCACCGCCGTCACGATCGGCGTCAAAGATGCCAAACATCTCGCGAAGCTCGGCGACGGCGTCGGGCGGCAGCTTGGCCTACACGCTGTGTTGTGCTTTCAAGAGCCGGCGCTGGTAGATCTCTTGCTCGACCTAGGCGTTGTCCTTCTCGTACTCGAACGCATCTGAAAGTGTTCACGTACCCAAATGTTGATGACGCGGACTTGGTAGGCGGTCAAGGACGGGAACATGGACACGAGGAGCTCGTTGAACGTGAGCCGGCCATTGTGGTCTAAATCCAAAGACCGAAACCAGTCGCTACCGTACTTGCGGAGCTTGGGCGGCAAACTACACATCGTTCAGGTGCCATTTTATTGATGGGCGCGCGCACTGGCTCAAAAACTCGTTCAAGTCGATTTCGTTGCTTTTGTCAGCGTCGCAGCTTGAAAATGTCTTGTACAACTCCAGAATCTTCTCATTTGTGTCGAGTCGACGTCAATAAAGACAAGTTGTACACTAGTACCGTGTGCTTGGAGCAGATCATATGGATGCGCGTCTCTTCGTTGTGCATGGTCCGCTTTGTGAGGCGGCGCATGGCGGTGCGCCGCATCGTCGGCTTTCGGGGGGTCAGCGGTGGCGCGGGGCTCATTATCGCAGCGGTGGATGCCGACGCGCGGACTTCGTCAACCTTGCCGAGCTTGGGCAGCTTGTGTCGGCCACATCTACAGCAACCACATGTTGGATGCCGTATGCCAGCACCGATCGACGAACGCAAAGATGGGAATCTCGGTCACGTGCTCGCTGAAGAGATCGAGGCCCGAGTCGTCTGTCGAGTAATCGTGAAAGTGACTCCGCAAGCGGCAAAAATGAGGACAGTGCTGCAGCAGCTTGGTCACCGCGGCCGCACTATCACCAGCACAAGCTCGCAACGAGAAAAAATCGGGTCCACGCACTCGATTGTTGCGTCAAACTCAAATTTGAGCGTGGAAAAGATCTTGTCGTACACGCCGGCAACGACCGCCTCGGACAGCAACGTTCCTACAAAGAATATGTCCATCAACAATGTGACAGTCATGTCGCATAGTCGAAATGGGTTACCGCCCGTGAGCAGCGCCAGACCGTTGAGAAGATCGTGCAAGAGCGTCAGCAGCTCGGCGCTTGAAATGCGTGTGCACGGCGTGAGGTTGAAGAGACGCAACGCGTGCTCGATCGTATCGAGCGTACTTAGCTACAAGAATGAAAAACTTCATTCAATGCTGCTCATATAGGAATCGCGAGGTATTTGTTACCTTGGAGCAGAGCACGAGGGCGAGGAAAGCTTGCTGCAATGTCGCGACGTGCGTTTCGCCGACGCCGACGCTGAAGCGACCAGTGACACTCACTTGGGCAAACACGCGGAAGACGCTGTCGTCCTTCGGCCGGTCGAGTCCGAAGATGGAGCAAAACTCTTCGATCGTGCTAAACGAGCTGTGTTGACCCTAATCGATGCGACGCTCAGCGCCGATAGGGACAACTATCTCGCCGAGAACCTTGTGAAAACGAAGTCGGAGGGCGTGGATCTGGCCGAGCGTCCACCCAACGAGCGGTAGCGCCGACGACAGCACCTTGGGGCTAATGTACTTGGACCTAATCCGAGACTCCGCGCTGGATGTATCAAAGAGAGGAACGTACAGGCGGGCGATCCGCAGCGCCTCGCTTTGCACTGAAATGACCTCAATGTTGCCCATGGCCGCGCGCAATGCACCACCACACGAGCCCGTTTTTGCTATTTTTACAAGAACTCGCCACCATTATCTTGTGGAGACAAACCGGTCGTGTTAGCTTGTACCACTGCTGCTGCTGCTAGTGTCGTCGTCGCCGGCGCCTTTGTGCTTCCAGATAAACCCCAGCGCGTCGAGTTCGGCGCGGCGATTCGGTGGGCAAATGTCTTCGCGCTCGCGGAGGTTGGTGACAATGTACCCGAGTTTCGTGCCCCAGAATTCCTTGGGCCAGCGCGCGTCGTTGCTTGGCACAACGTACGAGTAGCGCACCGCCACGTCGCCGTGGAGCTCCTTGTACTTCGTGAGCACTTGGATGCGAAAATTCCAGTTTTCTTCGTAAAAGTGCCACACAAAGCCCATGGCGTCGAGCTCGGCCTCGCGCTCGGGCGGGCAAATGGACCGGCTCTGTCGGATCGTGTTGACGGTCGTGCCCAGTCGGTGGTGCCAAAGCTCCTCGGGCCACACGCCCGGCTCGGCCGGCACGACAAACGGCCCGGGCACGAGCACGTGCCCGTAGAGCTCCTTGTAGCGCGTGAGAGCGGCCATGCGGACGCTCCACGTGTTCTCCGAGCAGTCCCAGACAAAGCCCATAGCATCGAGCTGGAGTTTTCGGTCGGGGGGACAGCCCTGACGGTTTTGGCGAATGGTTACGACTGCGACGCCGAGACGCGTCCCGCGCATCTCGGTCGGCCACGCAGGGTCGTCTTCGGGAATGACAAACGAATGGGGCACGAGGAGGTCGCCGTGGAGCTCCTTGTATTTCGTGAGCGCGGCCATGCGTGCGTTCCAGAGGTCGTCGTACCAGTCCCAGACAAATCCGATGGCATCCAAAGCGGCGCGGCGCGGCGCGGGGCAGTTGTCGCGGCCTTGCTTGCGCAGCCGCGCAACGACGAGCCCGAGCTTGAGGCCCCACGCGTCTTTGGGCCATTGCGGGTCGGATTCTGGCACGACAAAGGTGCGGACCACGAGCAAGTTGCCGTGCAGAGTCTTGTACGTGACGAGCGCCTCGAGGTTGCGCGACCAGAGGTACTCGTGCGGCGCCCACACAAACTTGAGCGCATTCAGAGCTACGATGACGTCGTCTGGGAGGTGGCCGCGCATGAATTTACGCCGCAGCTCCGAGACATCGAGCGTGTGCCCGTGCAAGCGCAGCGGAAAGGCGTCGTCCATGGGCACGCGGTACTTCGACGGCAGGTACGTCACGCTGGAGCGCGGCGCCTGGAGGTCGTGCTCGATGCGCACGATCTCGAGCATGTTGCGGTACGCCGGCGGGAAGCTACTGCTGCTGCTGCGCCAGCGCTGCTGGAGGACTCGCGCTCGCGCCAGAAACATGCTCGACTGGCACGAAGCGCGCTTGGAGCCAATCAGCGGCGTGGCGATTTTGAGAAAAGCGGTAATTTTACGAAAATACCGTTTTTTTCGACCAGCGACGCTGGAAAGGTGCTCGGCGATTCGCCAAGCACTTGGTTGCGCACGGCATTCGCAGCGCCTGCTCAAAAGGCGCCTGCTGGATGGATTCGCACGACAACGTATCTATCTATCTATCTATCTATTTATCTACCTATCTATCTATGGCCTCATCTCGGAAGGCAACCGTGTGCGGCTGTACAAGTGCTGCGTGCTCTCGGTCCTTTTGTACAACTGTGGCACGTGGGCCCTGACGCCAACGAGTCCGGCGGACCTTGACAGCTTCCATCGCCGACAGTTGCGTCGTCTTCTAGACGTCTTTCACCCGAACACGCTCGCCGACGTAGCGCTCTACAAGCGCTGCAACAGAGTCCCGCTGAGCGAGATCGTCGCCTGCCAACGCTAGCACCTGCTGGGTCACGTGCTGCGCATGAGTGAAGACGTCCCTGCCAACATTGCCGCCGCCCGCTTCTTTGCCGCTCCTGAGGCGCCCCGTTTTTTGGGCCGCACTAAGATCACGTTGCCGATCGTCCTGCACCGCGACCTCCAGTCGTTGACGCCGCCTCAGTCGCTGGAGTCTCTCGAGGACCTTGACGAACTGCGTAGCTTTGCCGCCGATCGCGAAGCCTGGAAGGAATTTACGGAGCTTGTCGTCATGGGCCTCACCCGCGGCCGCCAGCGCCGCCGCCTGCGCAGCCACGGCCCGGCGAGTGAATGAAGAAGAAGGAGATTGCTAGTCTCTACGTATGCAAACTCTTTGTAACAACGAAAAAAAAATAACGCGAAACACGTTCATATCTATCTATCTATCTATTTATCTATCTCGCACTCTCCCGTTCTCTCTGCAACGTATTTTAGACTACGAATGGTGGTTCGTGGTGAGGTGCGTCGTTCATGTGCATCAAAGGAAATAAATTGTTTTATTGTCTCTATGCGGATGCTGCACGTGCCACGTGTGTGCGCATTGTGAACATCATATGACATTCGTAGCTCTCTCAATCGGCCTCGATCGCGCTTCGTGAAATGCGTTGGAGCCGCACGAGGGAGCGCGCTCGAGCGTGCGAGAGGGCGACCAGGTGCGTTTGCAACGCGCTTGCCGAGACGAAAGAAGCAGTCGGCGTCGCTTGACTGCGTCGCGACACTTGGCTCCATCGCGCACCAGATCCTTTGACCGACTCGCGCTGCACAGACTCGCGGTGCACAGAGAGGAGGCGTATGAATTGGCGCTGGCGGCGCGCCAAGCGTCTCGCAACCTGCCGGGCGAAGAGCTGCCCCATAAACGTTGGTTTCGGCTGCGCGCGCGTTCGTAGCAGCAGAATCGGCTACACGATAAAGCATACGATGCTGCCACGCGGGTGGTCGAGAGAGGATACCTGCTTGGCGGTACTCGCCGACACTTGCAGCCGCTTGGTCTTGGTCTCGTTAAGGTACGACTTGAGGCCTTCGTTGGCTTGCGTGAACGCGTCAAAGTGTACTTTGAGCAGTAAGTTGAGTTTGCAGTACGTTTGCGCAATGCAATTGGCGGTTGTTGGCTCGTTCGTCATCAAACTCACTTCGCCAAAGTACCCGCCAGGTCCGAGTGTCGCGAGCACATTGCCTCGCGCGTCAAGCACACGAACGAGGCCGGTTTCAATAATGTAGAACGCGTGGGCCTAGCTGGCGCTTGAAATTCATTCGTCTCAGAAATACGCACCATCTCGCCGGCTTTGACGATTGCCTCGCCAGGTACCGCAATGCTCTCGGTCATCATGAGTAGCAGTGCCATGACTTGCTCGGGCGCGAGCGTTTTTAAAAAGGGCACTTTTGCGACCACGTCGCGGTGGAGGTGGTGGCGCAAGAGGAGCTCGACTTTGCTCGGCAGCGCCGGTGTAAAGATCTTGTTGGTGTCGTGCGCCAAGAGTTCGCCGCCCGACGTCGAGCTGTAGTAGTCGTAAATCGCTTGTTGGACATCGTTGTCGACGTTTTGATCCCGCAGTAATGACGCGACCGTCGCCGTGTGGTACTGGCGCTCGTCCGACGACGTGTGGAGCTGCTCGTTCAAGCCCGCGACGATACCAAAGATACTACCATCAAGCCGGATCCATAAGAAAGGTTCGCCCACAAAAGACAAGAATATGTGCAGTTTGGACGTACCACGCATTGACAATCATGCCAATAGCAAATCCGACAAAGCTAAAGATGCGCTCGACTTTGGTGATCGCCAAAATCGACGACCCGCTCGTGAGCGAGAACGCTTGGAAGAACGCGCCGACGTACTGCACCCAGAGCGGGTCGTCGAACGAGAATGGAATGGGCCACATTTTCTCGAGGTGCTTGTCGTAAACGCCGACTTCGTAGCACACGATCAAGTAGTAGAGGCTGCCGAGATAGTGGTGCAGGGCAATATAGAGCAGCACAACTTTGGCCAAGCGCACAAAGACGGGGTGGATCAGCAGGGATAGCCGACGCTCGACGCGGCCCACAACATCGGCCTGCGATAGCCGGTAGAGCCGAAAGAGGAAGAGGAGGCGCGTGGCTTGCACGACCCGTTTCAATTGGACGCGATCAGTGACCCAGTACGCGCTTGGGATCGACGAGAGCACGTCAATGACAAAGCTGCGGCTAAACAGATACGATTTGGCGACTTCGGTGGCGTCGACGACGAGCGCTTGGGTGGTGGCATCGCGCCGCGACGTGCGGAAGGTCACGGCAATGTCGAGGAGCAGCGTCAAGTCAATCATTGCCTGCAGCGTCAAGCACGTGGGCGAGATGGTCACAATGTCAAAACACACGTCCAGGGGCAGCAAAATCAGAAACACCAGCAGCGCCAAGAGCACGACCACGTCCCAGCGCGTCTTGATGTGTCCGTTGGCGTCCAGAACCCGTGCTACAAGATAGCACGTTTGGTGAGAGCTATGTCGACGTACAGCGCACCGCGATGCCGCATGACGAGATCGGAGAACTGCGACGTGGCCATCGAGTCGAGGTCGTTCAGAATCAAGTTGGTTTTCGCCTTGAAGCTCGCGTCAATGACGTGCCCGCGCCTTCCAACCTGCGCGGGTGCGGACGAGTGAGCAGACACTAGCGTCAACACTCAGCTCTACGTCGTCGCGTGGAGGTGGTCCTACCGAACAAGAGGTTGCGATGCGACATGGAGGACGATTGCCGAGACGAGACAGCACTTGACGGCCATCGTTGGGTGTGGAGGAGTCGCTGCAGGACGCCTTCCGCGGACGCGTGGTTCGACATCGCGTCGGCTCTTCTCAGACGGCGCCGATCTGAAACCGACGCGCACTTGAAAACCGAATACGTGAAGCGATAATAAATATAGTAAATTTAGTAAGCGTAGTACGGGGTACTAGACAGCAATGGTGTACGAAGGCCCTGCATCGAGTAGGTATCGAAGCGATCGTTTCTTTCGTATCCACTTCGCCGAAACACGTTCATACCGCCCAGCATGCCCACCTTCTAGGTTCCACGAGCCTGGGTCATTTCGTATCCGCCAGCCCTTACTTTCGCTGGATACCCAGATAGACCCCATGCACTGCGGCGCTACATGCAGACCTCTGACTACGTTGAGGCGCCATTCCAGATGGAGTAGCCGTCCCGCCAGCAACTCGATCTCAAAAAGAACGTGAACGAATACAATGTACAATGACATTACTCGTAGTTGGAGAGACATATTACGCGTAGAGGTGGTCGTCCTCGTCACCGAGGACGCTATAGCTGATGCGTTTGAGCCTCGCGAGTCGGCGTGCTTGAAAGTACGAGAACGATTGTACATGCACATGCAGTTTGTGGGACGAACGCGGTGCGGGCGTAACATTGTGTTCGCTGTTGTTCGACACGCGACGAAGGCTGCGCAGAAGCGAGAGTCTTTTCAACGCCCCGCGGCGCACTGGGAGACGCGGCATCATTTTGCGGTGGCGCTGGATCAACCTTTTGGCCAGGCTATGGGCGAGCGTCGCCGGTGGACCCCGAATACACGCCCATGTCTATCACACAGACATCGAGATCGATATCATTGACAAGACTCACCTTGAGGACTTCGTTCGCGGATGTCGCGAGCCGGTTGGCCCGAACCGCGTGCAAATGATTCCGCAACTCATCGTTGGCTTGTGTAAAGACATCGAAATGAACCTTGAGCAACACATTGAGCTTGCAATACGTCTGGGCAACAACACTGGCGGTTGTTGGCTCGTTGGTCATCAAGCTCACTTCGCCAAAGTACTCGCCAGGCCCCAGCGTCGTGAGCAAGCGTCCGCGGGGATCGCAGACACGAACAATGCCGGTTTCAATGATGTACAATGCGTTGGCCTAGGTCCGATTTGAGGTGTGTGAGCCAAAGTTGCAAATTGACACACCTTTTCGCCGGCTTGTAAAATCAGCTCGCCGGGTAGGATGACCGCCTCTGTCATCGTCAAGAGCAAGGCGAGTGTTTCTTCCGGCCTCAGTGTCTTCAGAAACGCGACTCTGGAAAGCACATCGCGGTGGAGATGGTGGCGAAGCTGCAGCTCGATTTTACTCGGCAGCGCCGGTGTCATTAACGTGGATGCGTCCAAATGGAACAGTCGGTCGTTGTGGGACGACGAATCGTAGTAGTTTTGAATGGCTTTTTGGAGGTCGTCGTCGACATCCTTCTGGCGCATGATGGACGCAACGCAGTCGGCGTGATGCTGGCGCGCGTCGGAGGCTCGGTACAACTGCTGGAGCAGCCCTGCCACAATGCCAAAGACACTATTGAACGTCAAAATCCGCATCAAGACGCCATATCCAAGACGTACCAAGCGTTGACAATCGTCCCGATCGCGTAGCCGCCAAAGGTAAAGACCCACTCGACGTTGGTTGTGGCGAGCATGGGTTCCAGCCCCGTGACCAAGAGGGCTCTGTGGTACGACGCGACGTACCGGTCCCAGATCGGATCCTCGAGCGTGAACGGAATCGGCCACAGTTTAACATTGGAGCGCACGGGGTATTCATATGCGACGACGAGGTAGTAGGCACTCGCAATATAGTGGTGGAGTACAATGTAGAAGAGCGCGAGTTTGACCAAGCGCACGGCCGCGGGGTGGATCAGGAGCGAGAGTCGCACTTCAACGCGCCCAAAGACATCGGCTTGCGAGAGCCAATAGAGGCGAAGTAGAAACACGAGGCGAATGGCTTGAAAGAGATGCCCCGTGGCGTGGTTGATCGTCAACGAGGTGGGTACCGACGAGAGCGCATCGACGACAAAATCGGGGCTCGCCAGATAGCCCCAAGCGACGTCCGTTGGATCGAGCAGCCACGCATTCGACGTCGGGTCGACCCGAGACGTGCGAAACGTCACGACAACATCTAGCAGCAAGAGCACATCGATCGCGCATTGCAGCGCGAAGCATGCGCCATCGGTTGCGACAAGGTCAAAGCTCGCGTCGAGCGGCAGCAAAACAAGCAAGACGAGCAGCGCGACGAAGACGAGCACGTTCCAGCGGGCCTTGAACGTACCGTTGGCGTCGAGGACATTGGCTATTTGCACACGATTAATGCCACCACAGAAGGCGCATTCGTACAGCGAAGTCGCTTGGCCAGAGTCGTAAACTGCAGCGCGGCTATCGCATTGAGATCGCCGAGGATGACACTAGCCCTTTCATCGTGGTTCACGGAGGAGCTGTCGCCCACGCTCGGACGGCGCCCCATCGCACCGCCATGCATAAGCGCTACGCAGCATCTTTCTCATTTCAACGAACACAAACCAATCGGACGAACCGTGAAAGCGGCCTTCCGAGCGTGTTGATTGCTTGGAGAAGCGGCTCGTCGGTCTGTTCGCCGGCACATTTGTTGCGTGAAGCAAGCGAAAGAGTAGTCCGTTCTTGGTGTCGGTGCGGACAATCTTGGCACCAGGTGCATCTTCGTCGAGGCGCCCCAGCATTCTATCGGGTCGAAATGGCTCTCGCGGTGCCGATTCGCACTGTAGTCACAAGCGTTGGCTCTATTTCGGTCTGTTTCAAACCGTTTCGCCGTCGTCGCGCCTTCTAATCACGTCGCAACTTGATGACGGGAGTCGATTCCGATGGAATTTATTTACCCACGGCAGATCTTAATGGCGGACTCTACTTTGGATAGGAACGACGGCGGCGGTTAAGCTTTGCAGATGGAAATGGTGTTAGCCAAACTTCGTCAGCGGAATTAACGCAGTAGGCCCTCACTTGATACCTATCTGCACCAGCGTACGACTCGCAGTGCGACTCTTACTGTGGTCCTCGTGGCACAACCCGATCTTCCTATCGGACATGATTGCCATATACTCTATTTAGGGTGGGCGGCGCAGGAGCCGCATCAACCTCTCACCTCAAAGACCCTCCTTTATGATGGCACAAGGACCTTTTGACCACTCCCTGACCCTGCATTCTTGTACATCCAGCACATAAACACCTATTGAATGCAGATCCAACCTTCCTACTCCTGCCGCTCCCGTACACTGTTCCCGTTCTCCGCGAAAGTCGTGATGTATCGAGCCCGCTCAGTTTTTTGTGACCACTAGAACCTCTAGAAACGCATACCTCGACGGCGCCTTCAAAAGGCTTCGACTATGTATGGACTAGAAACGCACCCACTTGCAATAGTTGATACGAATAGTCGGTGCGTCTGCGCAGATGCCACGCATTCCGCCACCCGCCGGCCGCCTGTCGCCATGACGACGACGAGCGCCTTGGGTACGCTCGTCGGGTGCAACGCCACCTGCTTCTGGACGGGCCGCCATGGCGATGTCGTTGACAGTGCGCAGCTGGCCGAGATCATGCTCGCCAACGACACGTCGGCGGCGGCGGCCCGCAATCTGCAGTCGCACATGGACTACATCCAAGGTAGAACATGGTTTGCCATTGAGCGCTGTCGAGCATGCTTGTAGCGGTGCAGCGCCATGCGACTGCGATGGGTCAAGAGCTCGGTATCTCTCTCGGTGTCAACCCACGCCACTTGCTCCTCCCGGCCATCGACGAGGACCCGCGTGAAATGGTGCTCGAGTACCGCCTACGTGGCCCGCGACGCCTTCAAGCCAGCGCACTGCGACCAGATCTCAACTGGTGCAGCGAGCTCAACCCCACCGGGCGCTCGGTCTGCGGCGATATCAAGAGCCAGAAGCTCTGTGGGTCGTGCTGGGCGTTCGCCGCCACGGACCTCATCGAGACGGCCGTCGCAATCGCAGGCAACGCGACGCCCGTCTCGCTCTCGACGCAGCAGCTTTTGAGTTGCAGCAAAGGCCCCCAAGTTCATACGTTCCACTACTGCTTTGCTTCGTCGCCGACGATGCCATCATGGGTGTCGCCCACCAAGCAATGGAACGCGACCAACGACGGGTGCGGCGGCGGTATGACGCAGAACGCGCTGACGGACGCGGTGAGCAAGATCAAGAACCTCGCGTCACGCTTGACGTGGCCCGACAATAATGACGCGTCGTCGTCCCGCAGCCCGTACCCGTGCACGCAGCTGCCCGACAATTCCACCGCCGCCCACATCACGGGGTGGGAACCCGCGTTGGGCACAAATTCATGTGCCAGCACAAGCGACCCGACGCGACTGCTTCAAGACGCACTCGCGACGGGTCCGTTGGCCGTCGCCATGCACGCGCAAGGCCTCTTCCCCGAGTACAAGGGCGGCGTGTTCACGTGCCCCAAGATCATACACTCGGACTTGATCGACCATGCGCTGCTACTAGTCGGGTACGGCTACAGCAGCGGCACGCCGCACTGGATTCTGAAAAACTCGTACGGCGCCGGGTGGGGCATTAATGGCTTTATGCACTTGGCCATGGACGACGACATCAACTGCGGCCTCAACATCTTTCCGATCCGCGTCCTCGGCGCGTCCCGTGGTGCGTCCGTGCTGCGCGTCGACGGTGGTGGCGACCTTGACTTTGGCGGGCTGACCCTCGCGGCGTGGCTCGGCATCGCGGCTACAATTGCCATCATTACGCTCCTCGCAACGATCGTGGGTGTCCGCATTGCGCTCAAACGCCGGGCCAACATGCACCGCTGCTGACCGTCGGTCGCCACACTGTAAATTGTGTGTTGCGTTGTGCAATGTTTAATGGAGTGTAGCATCGAACAACGACCTGCCGTCATGCAGCTTTCTAGACATAGCACTGCAGAGACCCACTGGCCGTTCATGACCAGTCTGGTTGCAGCGTTGGGCGTACTAGGTAATAACCCGCTCAGTTTTATGAGCATCGGACGCATCTCACGTGCTGCCTCCAGCCCATCGTCTATGCATCACAATCCAAGAATTCGGAAGTAAGACCAAGGGTATTTATTACTAGTATATATCCTTGGTACGGCGCGCCTTCGCGACAATATGCCACGTCACAATCCAGCACAACGAGTGATGGTTCTCTGAGTTCTTATTCGGTTGTAAGCGGACGGCTCGCTGGGCGCTGTCGGAAGAGAACGCACTCGTCGCAATGCACGTTTGCAGCCATTGTTACTTTTACCGAGGCCATTCATTCATACGGGACACACGTGGACAACCTGTGCGACGACATTGGGTTGCAGCTGGGGTTGCAGGTTTCTCTTCTTGAATCGATGCTGGTTTTTGGATTTTTAGAGATTTCGCAAGTCGTGTCGATGCGCGTCGGGTGTTCGAGGCGCGTTGCGATGGACGCAACAAGTCGCACATGCGTGAAGGATAATCTCTGTCCACCGACTTGTGTCAATATTGTATTACACAACGATTGTTTGAAGACGTCTACGATCTTTCCCTGCTACATGGAATGTGAGGGATGCGCGACAACTGCTGGTGAATACATGATGACCTGGATTTTGTCCAACCAAATCACTAATACAGACAGTGGGATCCCTGTAGACACTCGGGATTTTCCTTGCCGCTCGTCATTGTTCGAATTGCCCGACAGTCGACAAGCATGTCGGTTCCCATGGCCACCACAACGGCGCCAGCGCTTCTTGAGAGCAGCGCCCACACGGTATCGCTTGCGCACAACACTGTGTTCTGGGTCATGTGTGGTATCATCACGGTCGGAATGCTCGCGATCGTCTCGGTCATGGTGCTCAAATGCCGACGACGACGAGCTGCTACCCAGGCACTCTTCTCCGCCCGCGTGCCACTCACCGCCGTATAATGTGTCACCACTGTCTCTTGCTGTCGCAACAGTCCTGTGCCCGACTGCGCCGTGTACTTGCAAAGACGAGCGCGCATGTCGTCGTCCTGCGTCAAGCGTCGTTCAAAGGGTCCCGATTGGACTGACCGCGAATAAGGTGTCCTATTTAACAATCTTCCTGCATTTAGTATTCATCCAGTAGCGCTGTGGTGATGCACGCGAATAAACATCATATCTCTCTACAGTATCATGAGCAGGTACGCGTCCGACTCGCGCTCAAAGGAGCTGGACACTTGTAGATGGGCAAAGTAGCGAGAGCCCATATCCGCACAGCTTGGTTCATTCGATTACAATGTACCGGCGAGCTAAGAGCACGAATCTCTCGCCGGGCGACACATTTAAACGTAATAACCTCGAATGATCGGTGTTCTTGTCAAAAACATGCACCCAACGTCAACAACGAGCAGTCTTGTTCATGGCGGTTGACAAGTTGGCGGCCGCTACGCCGTGAGTGCTTCAATTCCATCCACGTTGAAGAGATGGTACCGGTAACAACTACTAGTACTTTCAACACCTGCCATCGACCAGGACCCAAGACGGCCGAAATGCAGGGTACCAATTGCTCGGGGCGAGTCAGATCGATCACGAGAAGTACATGTATGCGCCGACACGACACGCTGCAGAGCTCGACAACCGTCTTCTGTAGCTTACCGTCCAAGCCGCGACTCGACATCCCATTGCGATCGTCCGACAGCGAATTGACCGCACGATGGCTGAGTGTAGCGAGACAGTCCGGATAAATCGCTCTCTGATTGGACGATTTGCTTACGTAGGTGTAACAAGCACGCCGCTGGCGCCAGTCCGGAAGTTGCCAGCACATGACGACGCCAACGGCCCATGGCTCACTCATCGCCTGCAACGACGACGGCGACGGCTGTCGCTGGGTGGGCGCAGCGGCGCCAGCATAAGCCTCCACCAGCTCGTCGACGAGCTCCTTGAGAGGGACCCGCCAAGGGACGTGGCCGCGACCAGGGCCCGCCTCGTCGCTTTCGGCAAGCAGCTTGAAGGTACGCATGCTGGCTTCTAGACCGAGAACTCTACGCAGCATCGATAGCCAGATACGCTCGTGCGATGGCGCGCCATGAGGATCCGGCATCCGTGGCGTTGCAGCTGCCGATCCCTTATCTTGCCAGCCCATCGCCAATGTCGCGATCCCTTGGCAACACCACATCAATGCCGATCAATGCAACGAGCTTGCCCGTCTCGCTCAATTGGTGCTCGACCAACAACCCGCTGCGCCGACGCATCTGCGGGCCCATGCGCGCTCAAGGCGCATGCAACGGGTGCTGGGCGTTTGCGACCGTCGAGATCGTCCAGGCCGCCGTGAGTGCGGCGACGGGGGCGGCGCCTTTGCCGCTCTCGCCGCAGCAGCTCCTCGACTGCAGCCGCGGCAACAACAACTACTCGACATCGCACTGCATGGCAGGTACGGGCCATGTCCCGTCCTGGCTACCCCACGAGATTCAATGGAGCAGCGCCAACGGCGGCTGCAACGGCGGGTCAACGTACAGCGCGCTCCTCGACTTGGAGTGGACCAACACACCGCTTGTCCTCGAGGCCGACTGGCCCTTTCTTGACGCGGACAAGAACGTGACAGACCTCAAGGCAGCTTTGAACCCTCGCTGCGAACCCGCCAGAGACGTCTTTGACGGGTACATCGTGGAACGCCCCAAGACCAATGGGACGACGGTCGTGAGCTGGCGCTCGGCGCTACCGGGATCGGCGTGCGCTGAGAATGTGACCGATCCCGCGCGGTTGCTCAAGACGGCGCTTCTGGACGGCCCGATCTCGGTGCCCATGCACGCGTCCGAAGCGTTTCAAAGCTACAAAGGCGGCGTACACGTGTGCCCGACCAACCTCACGACGAGCAGCATCAACCACGTGCTCGTGCTGACCGGGTATGGCGTCGCCGACGACGGCGCCGAGTACTGGATTTTGAAAAACTCGTACGGCAGCAACTGGGGCCTCCGCGGCTTTATGCACCTGGCCATGGACGATGCGCTCAACTGCGGCATGCTTCTCCTGCCGATCCAAGTCGACAAGGTCATTGCGGGCGTCGCGGCGTCGACCTCCGACGTGAGTTACAAGGACGAAGGCACGGGCAGCGGCGGGTCGTCCGCGCCGCTAAGAAAGACCAACCACAACACGCCGTACTGGATCTTGGCGAGCGTCTCGGTGCTCGTTGTCGCGGCTGTCGTCGCTTTCGTGGTGCTGCGCCGGCGCCGCCAACGTCGGAAATCAATGACCAGCGCGCTTCTGGCGACCGAGGGCGTCTTGGCCGTGCACCACCGGACTAGTAATGCTGTAGTAACGTAAATATGTATATTGACGTGTATGATTCTATACAAACGTGTACCAGACAATCCATCGCAGTAAATAAAAGTCAATGCAAGCAAAGCACACGGACGTGGATGCACATCGGTCGCTCGACAAGTTGGCACACCGCCGCAATGGGTTGTGATTGGTGGCGGCGTTTTGTATCAGGTCAGTATCAATCTTCGTCAGTCCGACCTGGCGATGAAGTTGGCGGCCGCCTCATGACTTTGACCCTGCAACGGATTCTCTTCGACGAGAGCAACGCCAGAGAACACTTGGGTGCCTATCGATCGATGGAGCTTCTATGAGTGCGGTCGTCTGAGCTCCAGGATTAAAGGTGGAGTGCGGGAATATCTAAACTAATCAAAGCATTTTGCCTTCAAAACGACCCACCGCATGAAACGGCAGCTCGCGGTTACACACCTTCGCTTGCCAACACGGGTCGGTCCACCGGAGTAGCAAGAGGCTCGTCTCGCTTGCCTCGGTGTCGTCGTCACTAAAGTCCGACCTCGACGCTGAGCTATCGCGGGGCGAGAGGCTGCGACAGCTGTCGACGCGATCGCATCCATGCTGTTGTCGCCGATGGTAGCGAAGACAGAGTCGTCACCGGGCTACTGGCCACGTCTTCGGCAAGCAGATAGACGCAACAACGACGGCTGTCGGCGCAATGGTCCGAGTGTGGGAATCGACTTGGTCCTGCGAGATCAGTGGCGCTGACGCAGCGCTTGGTAAAGGCTTCGCACGCCGAAACCAGCGTCTTCACGAGCTTGCGAAAGTGCGACCACTGTGTGCTCGGAGCACGACGATGCAACAGCGCTCCCACGCCTTGGGGATCTGCTTCTCGGGTGGACTTCGCATTGTCTGGCTCGTGTCCACGCTATGGTAGCCATACTCTGGTAGCCACACTCGACCTCCTGGAGCTGTGGGCGCGTTGTGCTAGCTCGAAAAGGGACAAAAATTCGCGCGGACTGCAGTACCTGCGCGATACTCGGATTACAGATGGCATGCGTGCTAGTCATGATTGCGCACAACGCGTCCCTCGAGCCAATCTCGGACGAGATCCTCGGTGGCCACGGCCCGTCGTTTGATATTGTACCAGCCTCCCGGTGCGTGCCATTGTTGCGCTTGATTGTCCTTATAGAGCGTTGTATAGCTCGAGCTCGTGGCGACGGACGCGGTGCTCCAAGACTGCCATTGCTATGCGTTCCAGCCCCACGTTCACACCGAGTTCCGGACGAGCAGCGTCAGCGGTACGTAGGGTCCTATGGACGTCTCTTGCCGCCTTTGAGCTCCCATCACTCGCTACTACGCACACGGCCACTCGATATTGAACGTGCTCTGCTGCAGTCGCTACTGGAGAAATAAAAGCAAACAGAGGCGACGAGTCGTCGCGAGGCATCCAAGGCATGTGACACGATGCCAGTAGAAGCCACCGTGGTGTCGCCAACGCTCCACACGATGCCAACGAGCCAGCGACGACCGACGCCGCCGTATCGAAGGACCCTGTCGGATCATCATATCATTTTATAACGTGTCCAGCGCTTGGCCCGCGATTGTACTTTGCATTCTTGGATGCGATCCAGTCTGCATCAAAGCATACAGCATTTTTTAGTTTTAGGTTGATGCTCGATGTTTGGTCGTCTCCGAGAGCGTTGGCACGCGCGTCAGAAGCTTGCAGTTGTCGAACTGGCGCGTCTCGCCCTTGATGAACTCTGCGAGTGGATCGATGCCGGAGAAGGCAATAAACTGGTCCATGGTGCGTTCTTGGCCGAGCCCAAAGCGACTCAATTCGGTGCGGTCCACATCCTCGAATGTCGTGATCGGCAGCCCGAGCATCGCGCGCACGCGGCGCTTGGACGCTTGCTGCACAAAGTAGCGTGTGTCCCAGTCGCGCTCCCAGATGACATGCCGGTGCTCGTACCAATGGTACACAATGTCGACGCGCGGCGCGTATAAATCGTACCTAGTATCAAACTATCAAGCGCCGTCGACAATCATTCGTTACCCGTGCGTGAAGAGGCGCGCGGCCATCGAGTACTCTTCGCCGTGAAAGAGGTACGGCGTGTACGGGTCGTTCCGGACCCAGACCGCGTGGGCGGCCGGGCCAAAGTTGAAGCCGCCCGCAAACTGCGCAATGAGCCGCGGCGACGACGGCGACAAGAGCGACCAGTCTTGGTGCGGTGCGCTGTACTGCACCATTGCATCTTCGTCGTCCGTCTCGATGCGCGCGTAGCACATGATCGACATGGAGTAGACGCCGATCGCATGCAGGAGGCGGCCCATGACGCGCGTCGCGTGGTCCGTCGACTTGGGGTACGTCGTGAGGATTGCAAACGGATTCTGCACCGCGTCCCACTCGTCCTTGAGGCGGACGTCCCAGTGATGTACAAATACAAGGTGCGAGTCAATGCCCAGTGCAAACGTGTCGACGCGGGAGTCGATCGCAGCCTCCGCGACGTACCGTGCGGCGGTGGGACCCGTGGCTTCCGCCGCGTCCATCGAGACTTGGCGACGCAGCGGCGCTTGCCGGCAGATGGCGTCGCCCACCAGTTTGCAGTACGCGTCGACGCAGGAGGCCTCGCTTGCGTACACTTGGTCGACGAGGCTGATCGCGACCAAGTCGGGGCGCGCGGCCTGCGTCAAGAGCGAGCGCAAGGTTTCCGCGCATCGCGTCGAGTCGCGGTAGTTGGCCATGAGCACGATCGTGTGGCGCACGTCGTTTCGGACATGGACGTGGTAGCGCACCGCCGTGACGAGCCAGAGGACGAGCACGAGTGCGGCGCCTGCGACGATGCGCTGGCAGCGCCGCCGGTACCGTACCGAGTTGAGCGCCAGCCGCGCATACCGCCGGAGTCGATGCGCTGCGCGATGCTCTGTCCGCGCGTTGGTCAGCGGCAGCGAGCTACCGTCGTCGTCGTCCACGTCGTCGGGCTGCATGGCCAATAAATTAGGTGCTGATATCGCGATCCTTTGGTCGCCGTGTACGAATCTAAACCCACGCAACATTGCATTTCGGCGCCAAATAAAGCACGGTGACACACGGGACAGCAACCGGTCGCGGCCATTTTGGCGACACACGCAAACGATGGTACCGGTACGAGCTCTGTTGCTAGGACTCGTGGTCAATAGGAGATTTATACTACCAGCTTGGTTCTCGATTGAAATACATCTCAAACTCACAACCCCTGCGTTATCCGTGCAATGGGCTACCTGGTACTTTTGCATGTCGTTCTTTTGCGGCTGCGATCAGAGGCGATAAAAGCAATACTAATACTGCATCAAACAGCGTGCAAGCGTGCTCGAGCAGTGTCAGCTAGTAGCAGTGTCCAACGTCGTGCTGCACCGAATCGCTCCAAACAAATATGTATAGTATGCGATAAAACACACTTGCCATCGCGTTCGCTGCCCTGAAACCACAGCTCCGTGCAACTCTTGGCGATCGCTGCACCCCCCACTCTGGACGACCAATCATCTCCAATGTATAATACTATCTTGCTTGTGGGCGAGCTGCATACCGAGTGTATAGAGGTGCGCGGCAAGCTTGGTGCGATGGCTGCGTGCGGTTAGCCTCGCAACCTCTGTCCATCGCGTATCCGGATCTATGCCGTATAATAATAGCTTGCCGGTATTTTATTATCTTCCAACGCTTGTACTTGATAATTGTAAGTAAAATAAACCCTTTGGTATTGAAATGTCCCGGCACGTAGAAGCCTGGGTGTGTCACCCTCCCAGCGAGAGCCATTTTCGGTTTGGCGACAAGATGAAGTTTGGGACGCTCGTCGACTGCGCGGACGACCAAGGCTGTCTCTGGATGGGCAAGGACGGCGTGCCAGTCTCGGCCGCGCGCATGCTTTCGGAGGCCATGCTGCGCTTCCATCGCGGCAACGACTACACAGAGGCGAAGCGCAACCTACAGGCCCACATGGACTACATCCAAGGTACTCGATCATGACGAAATAGCGGTCCTTGATGGACGTGAGTAGATGTCTATACGCACGCCAATACGCTCAACCACCGCCTGACGATGACGCTTGGACTCAACCCGCGCCACTTGCTCGAGGATACAGCGGGCATGGGCCACCCCATGGACGCCGTCTTGTCCAACATGATGGCGATGAAGCGCGATTTGACGTACCGTCGCCTGGATACGACGCCGTCGTCGTCGCCCACAACACTCAACTGGTGCACGACCAACAACCCAAAGGGCCGCAGCGTTTGTGCGGACGTCAAGAGCCAGCAGCTCTGTGGCTCGTGCTGGGCGTTTGCGGCCACGGATGTGATCGAAACCGCCGTATCGCTCGCGACGGGCAACCAGCCCGTGTCGCTCTCGTCGCAGCAGCTGCTCTCGTGCAGCGTGTCGAAGGAGATTCGCACGTACCAGTACTGTTTTGCCAACTCGGGCGCGGTCCCGACGTGGTTGCAGTCGGAAATGAAGTGGGATTCGCAGAACCAAGGCTGCAACGGCGGCATGACGCACATTGCTTTGGACGACGCTGCCAACAAGATCCTCAACCTCGCGTCGCGCATCGACTGGCCGTACGTCGACGACTCCACGCCGAGCAACAACCCGAACGCGCCCGTCGGGCCGGTCGCGCCGTCCTCGGGCAAGCGGCGTGCGCTCACCGACGACCAGCGATTCCTCGCGACCAACGGCACGTCGAATGCCGTCTCACAGTACAACACATGCACGGCCACTCGCCCGGCCAACTTTACGGCCGCGCACATCACGGGCTGGGAGCCCGCGCTCAACGCATCGTCGTGCGCAGCGACCAAGGACCCAACGACGCTGCTCAAGAGCGCACTCGCGCGTGGGCCGTTGGCGGTCGCTCTGAGTGCGAAAGGCGCGTTCAAGTCCTTTACCGGCGGCGTGTACACGTGCCCGGCGATCACGTCCTCGGACATGATCGACCACGCGCTGCTGCTGGTCGGCTACGGCACGGGCGCAGATGGCGACTATTGGATTTTGAAAAACTCGTACGGCGTCTCGTGGGGCCTCCAGGGCTTCGTGCACGTCAAGACGGACAACATGCTCAACTGCGGTCTCAACGTGTTTCCGATTCGCGCGATCGGCGCGTCCGCGGGCCCCGCGGCCAACATCACGGTGGACGGCGGCGGTTCGCTGAGCTTTGGCGGCGCGTCCATGGGCACGTGGATTGCGATCGCGTGCGTTGTCTCGGTCATTACGCTGGTGCTCACGGTCGCCGGCGTCATCGTCGCACGCAAGCGCATGCAAAACATGCACACGTAGTGTAGTGTACTTGTGTAGATCGTCGTCCAAGAGAAGCGGACTTAAAGCACCTTTGTATCTGGTTTTTGAGTGTGACTACAACAACGACGCAAGGTTGCAGACCAGTAGAGGAAGACATGTGACACAAGAAGTGTTGAGTGTGAGGCGTGGCAAGACGAGAAACCTTTACCCATCCGCAACGTTGCATGGTCCTCTACCGAAGTCCGTCGGTCCGCCGCTGCTTCAAACCATATATGTCCGTCCACCTGTCGACGCCGGCTTGTGTCACGATGGCAACTTGGTCCTATCTGCCAGGTCCTCGCCCAAAACGGCAGCGCCGCGCTGCTGACGGCTTTGCGCGCCAATATCACGGATGGTTCGGAGGAGGAAGAAGCCGTAGTCTCTGCGAGTGCTGGCGGCGATAGCCGGCGAGCGACCTCGATCCGTGCGAGATCCAGCCGCGGTGATGGAGCTGTAACAGTGTTACACCTCTCAGAATGCATTATTGCTGACCAATGATCTATCCGATTATAGGAACTCACAGACTTTCTCTTTGGAAAGCCTCTGACCTTTAATTGGGTTGGCGACTCCATGCACGCTAGCGCGACATGCTGCATAGTTGAATATCCTCGATGCTCGACAACTACTCGTTCGGGACGCTGGTCGCGTGCGACGTTGACTGCCGCTGGGTCGGGAATGGCCGCCGCCTTGTGTCCAGCGAGCGCATGCTGCACGAGATGCTCGCGATGCACCACCGCGGCGATGACGTCGCGTACGACGCGGCCAAGCGCAACCTCCGCGCCCACATGGCCTACATGGAAGGTATCCTTGGTACTCATTCTGCAGGTCCTATAACGTTGTGGTACGAATAGAGGTCTACTGGCACGCCAATGCGCTCAACCACCAGCTCACTATGAAACTCGGGCTCAATCCGCGCCACTTGACCGACGCGGACGCCAAGACCGACCCATTTCTTGTTGCGCGGACGAATCTCATGCTGTCCAAGGCGCCGTTGGTCCGTCAGCTCCAGTCGTCGTCGCCGTCGCTGCCAACGTCGCTCAACTGGTGCTCTGGCAACAACCCGAAGAAGCGTAGTGTGTGCGCTGAAGTCAAGAGCCAAAAATCCTGCGGGTCGTGCTGGGCATTTGCGGCCTCGGATCTGATCGAGACGGCCGTCGCGTACACAACAGGAAACGCACCCGTCGCGCTCTCGTCGCAGCAGCTTCTGAGTTGCAGCACGCGCGCCGAAGTGCACACGTACAACTACTGTTTTGCGAATTCGGGGAACGTCCCCAAGTGGCTCCAGCCGCGCATGCCGTGGAGCTCGCAGAACAACGGCTGCAACGGCGGCATGACGCACATTGCGCTCTCGGAAGCGGCGACGCGGATCCGAAACCTCGCCACGCGCCTCGACTGGCCGTACGCCGAGGACAACAGCGCTGCCTCGGGCGGCGTCCCCGTCGGTCCCGTCGGTCCCGTCGGTCCCGTCGGCCCCGTCACGCCCAGTACCACCAATGGACGGCGCGGCGATGATGGCTACAACACGTGTGGGTCGTTGCGTCCAGACAACGCAACGGCCGCGCACATTTCCGGGTGGGAGCCGGCGCTCAACGAGAAGAGCTGCACCGACACGAAGGACCCGGCGGTGCTGCTCCGACGCGCCCTCCAGACGGGCCCGCTTGCGGTTGCGATCAACGCCCGAGACGGCGGCTTCAAGGATTACAAGAACGGCTTGCACATTTGCCCGGAAATCACGCAGCCGAGCATGATCGACCACGCGCTCCTCCTCGTGGGCTACGACTCGGGGCCGAGCGGCGACTACTGGATTCTGAAAAACTCGTACTCGACGCAGTGGGGTCTCCAGGGCTTTGTACACATCAAGGCCGACGATCGACTCAACTGCGGACTCAACGTGTTTCCGATTCGCGTCCTCGGTGCGTCGGCGGGATCGGCGGCCAACGTGACGGTCGACGGCGGCGGCGACTTGGATTTCGCCGGCCTCTCGTTTGACACGTGGATCATTGTGGCTGCGGGCGTCGCACTCGGAACGCTGATCCTTACCGTCGCTGGCCTTGTCGTCGCCAAGGCGCGCATGCGCCGTCACTACTAATTCCAAACCAATGTCATTTTTTTGTATAATAGCGCCAAGACTTGACGACCTCGCAACATGCAAGACGATGCTACCGAAGCGCGACTTGGAGGGATCGCGCTGATCTTCGCAGCAGATCGAAGATGCCTGCAAGCAAAGCGCCACAACCCGAGAACGAACTGCCCAGCTTCGATCATCTGGATAACGCTTCGTGGCGCTCCTATTTGTTTATCTAGCCGGATCTGAATGCCTCTTGCGATCTTCCAACCAAATTTTGCCCATCCTCGTCCGTGTCGTCGAGGAGTCGCCACCGGCAAAGCCAACCTTTCTCTTTGTAGCGACATGTTGCCGACGTGCGTCGACCATATCTCGTACAGCTTGGTGATGCTGAGCCGCCCATTGCGGCAAGTATTAGAGTGATCGTCGCAACGAGCGACTTGTGAACAACGTACAAGTGGCAGACAATAGAATCGTATAAAGCGGAGAGTCAAGACCACTACTGAGGTGGCGTCGCAAACGAGACGCCTAGCGTCGACAGCTTTTGGCAATAGTTGTCGAGGATCTCGGCTTCGGTCGTGCCAAGTTGCTTCATGGCCTTGATGCGCCGAAGCTGCTCCTCCGAGAAACCCAAGAGCGTCTCGGTCTTGGACTGCGTCGACGTAAAGCTGACGCCGCAGTGCCGTCGAACTATCCACGAGTAAAACTACGACATCGGCAAGTGCATTGTCGTACTCTCGAGGCTGGCTTGGATATCGTGGTCACAAATACCCAGCTTCTTCATGCCTTTTTCAAGCCGCAGGAGCTCTTCGTTGACGCCGAGCTTGTGCATCGCCTTGTCCTTGTCCATGAGACGGGTCGTCGTGCTGGAGCGCTTAAGCATCGGCGACGCGCGACGGGACGGGGCGTCGCCAGCGCCGAGACAAGGTCGCCGTCATGCGACAGCGTGCTGGCGAGTCGTTCGTGGATGGGCATGGAGTAATTGGGGTCATTGGGCCGCGGTATCTTGCGGGGCGTGGGATGCGATGTCTTGTGATGGCGCGGCGAGCTACCCCCCGCAGTGCGCGGCGTTGATCTCGAGTCTCGTGCGGAGAGCACTTTGTCACTACTCCCAGCGGATTCGCACAGCAGCGTACTATATATGCGCTGCATGAGCCAGCCGTCCTTTTCGGTTGGGAAGTCGTACGTGGGCTCGAGGACCGGCGATGGCTCGGCGGTCGGCGGCAAGAGCACACCGTCGGCCACTTGGTTGCGCACGGACCGCGGTGTTCGCATTAGCTTGACGGGTGCTAATTCCGCTTTCGAGTCGCACGAGGATAGCACGACCGGACTGCGCCCCGAGCCTGGAAGGCTAGTCATGACGGTATTATCGCTCGATACAAATCGTGCCTTAACACAGTACGTCATTGTCCCCGAGGTCCGCGGAGACAAGAGCGGAATAATCGCGGGCAGCGGGATGCTCGGGACGACGTAGCTGGACTCGACCGTGGGCAGCCGGTCCGTGTGGCCATCGCCGTGGATCTACAGCAAGGCCATGTACACCAGCCGCAATATTGCTGTACGCTCTCGTACGTCTGGCGTCACGAGGACGGCTGCACTTGCGGCACGGGGTATCTCGGACCGCAGAGTCGCAGCGATGTCGCGAGCGCTCGACGTGCGTCGGGCGTGGAGGTGCTGGTGCTCGTCGAGCATTCTTTCTGCGAGTGGCTCGACGTGCGCCAACGCCCTCGGCCTAAAATTAGCCAACGATTTCATCCTTTTCAAACGACTCTGGCGTGACGTGCCTAGTGTAGCGAGTCGAACATACTTGATATTTGTCGACTAGAAGTTGCTTCGCGTGGGACGAAGCACCTTGGGACAGGCATCCACACTCACGGGTAGTCTCGTCTGTGCTATCCACTGCAAGGGGTTCGGCCGTCAAACTCTCCAGCATTCAGGATTCCTGGAACATGTTGGTGCATGGATTCGTCGCGAGGTGCTACTGCTCCCGGCGTCCAAAATCAAGAAATCTATACCAGGGGCATCACAAAACTCAACGCAACGCTGCGACTCAACTCAAGTACATAGCATCACACCAACCTCTCAAAACGTATAAGATACCCAGTCCAGGCTGTCGCGACGGAAGGGATATACCATTTGAGAGGTTCACGCTGATTGGTCCATTTTCGTGTCCCTTGGCCAGATCTTCGGAGTTTCCAACGCGAGCGGTCGTGCACACAACCGGAGTCGACCATGGTACGTGGCCGCTAGAGGACGCCTGCATGACGCGTCTTCCGTGTAGCCCATCGGCTATGGCGCCGAGCCCGAGATGGTGTGGGCCAACCCCAAGTGCACAGGCGAAGTCCCGAACAAGCGGTCCGGCCACTCGCTGACGCTCCGCGGCTCCGAGTCGGCGCTGTACCTTTTCGGCGGTACGACGGTCAACTTGCGTGGCCAGGTGCTCACGCACGTGCGTAGGTTGCGACCACAAGATTCCGCCGGGCCCAAGCAACGACCTCTTTCGCCTCGATATGGCCAACGGCTTTGCGTGGTCGCGCGTCCATGCCGCGTCAAGCGCACCCGAGGACGCGCCGCCACCGCGCTGGCGGCACACGGCCATCATGTACAACGAGCGCCGGCTCGTGGTATTCGGCGGATTTGCGGCCGAGAAGCGCATGAACGACTGCTGGATCTTCGACTGCGAGACCAAACTCTGGGAGCAACAGCACGCGCAGAACTTTTGGGAGGGCCTGCCGCAGTGCCGCGGGTCCCACAGCGCCACGCTCGTCGAGCACAAGATGTACATCTTTGGCGGCTACGGCGGCAACGGGTACGGGCGCACGGACTTTAACGACCTCCACGCGCTCGACCTGCGCAGCATGAAGTGGGAAGAGATCCTCACGGAGGGCGAGAAGCCCGAACCGCGCTCGTCGCACCAGACGTGTCTCATTGACAACAACCTCTTTGTCGTTGGCGGCTGGAACTCGGTCAAGCAGTTCAACGACCTCTTCGTGCTCGATCTGCAAACCAATACGTGGAGCGCGCCCGACTCGAAGCTCCACGTGCCGACTTGGAACCACGCGTGCGTTGGCGTTCAGGCCGTGCCGCACTGGAAGATCTTCATGTTTGGCGGTACGTCCGGCGACCTCGCCGAGTCGGGCAACTCGCAAGGCGCGTACCTCAACAACGTCAGCGTCCTCGACACGGGTACGATGCAATGGCGCGAGCCGTCGCTCAAGGGCGATGCACCGCTGCCGCGCGCCGACACGGCCATGATCTACGACCCGGTCGCGTACAAGCTGGTACTGTTTGGTGGTTGGGCCAACCGCTGGTTCGGCGACGTCCACGTCCTCCAAGTCAACGAAATCGTTGGGCCGCCGTACTCGGTCGCGTCGATCGCGCCCGCGTCCGGCCCCATCACGGGCAACACGCGCGTCAAAGTTCTGGGCTACAACTTTACCGGTTCGAGCGCCACGGTTCGGTTTGCGGTTGCAAAAGGGTTTTTGGACGTCCAGGGACAAGTGCTCGGACCGACCGTCGTGCAAGTGACGACGCCCAACTTTGACAAGTACGGGCCGCTCGCAACCGAAGTCCGCGTGTCTCTGCCCGGCGACTCGTTCACCAACATCGCGACGTCGTTCAAGGTACCCACTTGATAGTTTGAAAGATTTCGTGGTGCTGACGGTATCAACTAGTTTCACAGCGTCACGAGTGCGCCCAAGAGCATGGCGTATGGTCCATGCGTCATGCTGTCGCTGAGCAGTTTGATCATGGCGAACGAGCCGACGTCGTTCGTGCTCCAGTCGATCGACAAGGACGGGGTTGCTCGCGACTGCGGCGGCGACGTCTACCACGTCACGCTCGTGCCACGCACCGCCGACGGTGCGGAGGATGTCGAGAGCACGATTGAGATTACGACGATCCACGACAAAGGCGACGGGCGCTACATTGTCACGTTCATCCCGCCGGCGGCCGGCAAGTACATGGTCCACGTCACGTTTGAAGGGACGTTTGACGGGGTCGCGGGTCCGATTCGCGGGTCGCCGTTCGCCTGCTGCTTTCAGCCGCCCTCGGACGAGATGGCGATCCGCTGCGTTCCGAGCGTCGCGAAAGAAGATGATTTCAACTCGTCCGACCTCATCCGCAAACTCTACACGGACACGACCAAGCGCGCCGGCGACTACAAGCGCGTGCTCAAAGAGCTCAAGGTACGACCCAGATGGATAGCGTGCATGTAGACAAAAGTAACGTCGTAGGCGGACATTCCGAGCAACGATGCGGACGGTCTCGAGGCGCTCAAGAAGATCAAAGACCTTGTCCGGAAGCTCGAGACGGACCGGGCGGCCAACCAGCTGCTTCAGGATCAGACTGCGCACCTCTTTCAGTACATGAAGAAAATTGGCGGGCACGTCGACAAGGAAGCCGCGGACGTCGACAACCTCATTAAACTCTACCACGACATTCAAGTGCAAGTACCCGAAACTGAGACGCGCGTCACGGAGCCGACGCGGATCTTCTCCGAGAAGACCGAGGCGACGATCGCCGAGTACGAAATCAAAGTCAAAAAGTGGCAGGCCACCATCAAGACGCTCGACTTTTGGGACTCGAAACTCGAGCCGGGGAAAGCGCTCGAGAAGATCGAGATGCAGCTCGTCGAGTGGGAGAACGAGAAGAAGCGCTGCGCCGAGAAGAGCGACTTGAGCCACGTCTTTGGTTTCCCCCAGCGCATGAACGAAACCCACGCGACGATGGCCGCGATCCGCTCCGACTTTGACGGCGCCAAGGCCGTGTGGGCCATCGTCAAACGCACGAAAGCGTTCTTCGCGTCGACGCATGAGATTCTATGGAAGGACGTCGACTGCAACATGCTCGCGATGGAGACGCAAGCCGTTTTGAAGGAGCTCAAGAAGATCCCGCGCGACATTCAGTGGTGCGACGCGTACAAAGTCATCTTGAAAGAAACGCAAGGCTTTGACAAAACGCATCCTCTCCTCCGGTGCCTCGCCTCGAGCTACATGCGACCGCGGCACTGGCAGAAAATCATGGAGCACACGGGCGAGTTCACGCCACCGGACGCCGACCCCGACCAAAAGCTTGGGTTCCTCTTGAGCAAGCGCCTGCATGAGTATGCAAGTGAGATTGGCGAGATTGCGTACGAAGCCGAGAAAGAGCAGGAGCTTGAGCTCAAGCTCGTCGAGCTCGAAGAAACGTGGGCGCTCGTGGAGTGGGAGATGTCGCCTTACAACCCGTCGGACCCGGTCGAGAAGCAAGTGCCGCTGCTCAAGATCTCCGAGGACAACTTTGAGTTGCTCGAAACCAACCAGATCGACTGCCAAGCCATGACGTCATCGCCGTATCAAGGTGACTTTGAGACGCGCGTCACCGATATGCACCAAGGCCTCGCATCCGTGAACGAAGTCGTTGTCATCCTCGGCGACATCCAGCGCTCGTGGAGCTACCTCGAGCCGCTCTTCATCCAGAGCGAAGAAGTCAAGAACCAGCTCCCGGCGCTCACAGCCGACTTTGAAGACATTGATGTCGAGGTTCGCCGTATTTTGCGCGAAGCCTGGGCGACCAAGAACGTCAAAGTGGCGTGCACGGTGCCTGGTCTTTTTAAGCTTCTCGAGTCCATCGTCGAGAAGCTGGAGCTCTGCAAGCACCGGCTCAAGGAGTTCCTCGACGGCCGTCGGCGCCAATTCCCGCGCTTCTACTTCATGTCCGAGGCCGTACGTCCCCATAACTTTGAGTTTTGAGTGTCAACGATTGTGCGTAGGATCTCCTCGACATTCTGTCCAACGGGTCCAACCCCGCCAAGATCATGCCGCACGCGTCCAAGATCTACCTCGCGTGCAAGACCATGAACTTGGTACCCGCGCCAACGGGCCGTCCGACCGCTGTCGCGTTCGTCTCGGGCGTCGGCCACGAGATCGTCGACTTTGCCGAGCCTGTGCTTTTGGATGGCGAGGCCGAGATCTACCTCGAGGCGCTCTTGAAGGCCATGAAGTACACGCTCTTCAAGCACATTGAGCGCTCGCTCGTGCTCTACACAACCGAGCCACGCGTCGAGTGGATCAACTACAAGGACCCAACGGGGAAGCCTCTTGACGCGGCCCAAATCATCTTGCTTTCGGCGGGCATCCACTACGTCAAGGAAGTCGAGGCCGCGTTCCGGGCCATGGGCGGCGGCGACCGTGAAGCGCTCACGCGCTACAACAAGAAGCAGGAAGGGCAGCTCGAAGATTTGATCAAGCTCACGCAGAGCAAGATCTCGAACGCCGAGCGCCAACGCGTCATGTGTCTGATCACCATGGACGCGCATGGTCGCGATATCGTTGCCAATATGATCCGCGCTGGCGTCGACGACGCGACGAGCTTCATGTGGCAGTCGCAGCTCAAGCACTACTTTTCGCCGTGCCAAGGCAGCTTTCTCAATCGGGACCAAAACTTTCGCGGCCCAAACAACGCGCGCGCCCAAGTGCTCATTTGCGACGCCGGCATCCCGTACGACTACGAGTACCTCGGGAACGGCCCTCGGTGCGTCCAAGTGTTGATTTTGCCGAGTTTTGTTGATCCTTTTTTGTGGTTTATAGGCTTGTGATTACGCCGCTCACGGATCGTATTTACGTCACGGCGACGCAAGCGCTCAACCTCAAGATGGGTTGCGCGCCCGCGGGGCCGGCCGGAACGGGCAAGACCGAGACAACAAAAGATCTCGCCAACGCGCTCGGCAAGGCCTGCTACGTCTTCAACTGCTCGCCTGAAATGGACTACAAGAGTCTCGGCAACATCTTTAAGGGTTTGGCCTCGTCCGGGTCATGGGGCTGCTTTGATGAGTTCAACCGACTCGTGCCCGAGGTGCTCAGCGTGTGTTCGGTCCAATTCAAGGCCGTCTGCGACGCTTGCAAGGCGGACGACGAGCGCTTCATCTTGGAGAACGAACCCGTCATGCTGGACCCGACGGTCGGTGCCTTCATCACGATGAACCCTGGGTACCTCGGTCGATCGGAGCTGCCCGAAGGTCTGAAAGCACTTTTCCGACCCATGACGGTCATGGTGCCCGACTTGGTCTTGATCTGCGAAAACATGCTCATGGCCGAAGGCTTCACGCAAGCCAAAATCCTCGCGTCCAAATTTTATGGCTTGTACTCGCTCCTTGGACAACTCCTCTCCAAGCAGTTACATTACGATTGGGGTGCGTCCCTGGCTGCTATACGAATTGTTCGTGATGGTGTCGATAGGTCTCCGCGCGGTCAAGTCGGTACTCTGTGTCGCTGGGTCGTTCAAGCGCGCCGAGCCCGACATTCCCGAACCGGATTTGCTCATGCGCGCGCTTCGGGACTTTAACATTCCCAAGATCGTCGTGGAAGACAACGTCATCTTCTTTGGCTTGCTCGGCGACTTGTTTCCTCGCAACGACCCCAACATTGACGTCCGGAACGACCCACCCCGGAAGCGCGACCCGGAGCTCGAGTCGATGGTGCAAGGCGCGTGCGAGGCCATCAACAACAGGTACACCTTTTGATGCGATTCTGAAATGGTCTCCATGGGGTGTCCTATTAGTCCGCGCGAAGAATTCATGCTCAAGGTCGTCCAGCTCTCGGAGCTCCTTGCAATCCGCCACTGCGTCTTCGTCATGGGCCCGCCAGCATGTGGCAAGACAGAGACGTGGAAAACGCTTCGAAAAGCCCGCGAGATTATGGGCGTCTCGATGGAGATCCAGGACCTCAACCCCAAGTCGGTCTCGACGAACGAACTCTACGGCTACATTGTGCTCAAGACGCGCGAGTGGAAGGACGGCTTGTTGAGTAAGATCATGCGGGACCTTGGCTCGCGCACAAAAGAGAACGGCGAGGACGACACGTCGCCCAAGTGGATTTTGCTCGATGGCGATCTCGACGCCAACTGGATCGAGTCGATGAACTCGGTCATGGACGACAACCGCATGCTCACGCTGGCCTCCAACGAGCGCGTCCCGCTCAAGTCGCACATGCGCATGATCTTTGAGATCCGCGACTTGGTGTACGCGACGCCTGCGACCGTCTCCCGCGCCGGTATTCTCTATATTAGCGCGACGGAGGGCTACCAATGGCGGTGTCTCATCGACTCGTGGCTCCTCCGGCACAGCACGCCCGACCCGACGAAGAAGGCGAAGGACCAAGGACTCCTCTTCTCGCCCGAGGTGCGCGGCCAGTTCCAAGGCCTCTTTGACACGTACATGGAACCGACTTAAAGTTTTTCAAGAAGCGCCTCGTGCCCATCATTCCGGTCGAAGAGGTGACGCTCGTCGGCAACCTCCTCAACATGCTCGACTGCCTCTTGACGCCAGCGGTCCTTGCGGATTATGGCGTCATGCAGCACAACTTTTGCTTTTGCTGCGTCTGGGCGTTTGGGTCGATTCTCACCGTCTCGGACGACGGCACCGACTATGCGCTCGAGTTTAGCAACTGGTGGAAGAACACGTGGAAGGACGTCAAGATCGTGGCGAGTGCGAGCAACACCGTGTTTGATTTCTGGCTCGACCCCGAGACCGCCAAGTTCAACGCGTGGAGCAAGTCGCCGTACTTTTACACGGCCACGTACAAGTCGCCGGACCCGATCAACCAGATTACGGTGCCGACGACCGAGACGTCGTCGATCGCGTTCTGGCTCGAGAACCTCATTTGCAAGAGCATTCCGCTCATGGTGTGCGGGCCCGCGGGCACAGGCAAGACCCAGAACGTCAACGGCGTGCTCAAGAAGCTCTCGCGCGAAGACGCCAACTACGGGTTCCGGTTCACGACACTCAACTTTAACTTTTACACGACGTCGGCGATCCTCCAGGCCGCCATGTTCAGCCACCTCGAGAAGAAGACGGGCTCCAACTTTGGCCCGCCGGGGAAATTTCGGCTCATTTACTTTATGGACGATCTCAATTTGCCCGAAGTCGACCCGTACAACACGCAGTCGGCCATCTCGCTCTTGCGGCAAAAGATGGAGTACCACCATTGGTACGGTTGGTATCAGTGTATCACGTGTGTACGATGGCATGCTCTAGGTTTGACCGCGCCAAGCTCCAAGTGCAAAACATTCTCAACACGCAAATCGTGGCTGGTATGAACCCGACGGCCGGGTCGTTCCTCGTGGACCCGCGTCTCCAGCGGCACTTTACGACGTTCGCGATGGGCATGCCCGAGGCGCCGTCGCTCGTGACCATCTACGAAACGTTCCTTGGCGGTCACCTAGGGACGTTCAGCGGCGAGCTCAACACGTCGTCGTTCTGGAATGCGCTCATCAAGGCGGCGCTCACGCTGCACACGAGCGTGGTCCAGACCTTCCGCAAGACAGCAGCCAACTTTCACTACGAGTTCAACGTCCGGCACCTCTCGAATGTCTTCCAGGGCCTCATTGCGAGCAAGAAGGACCGGTTCAACACGAGCGAGAAGTTCGTGTTGCTCTGGCTCCACGAGAGCGAGCGCGTGTACGGCGACCGCCTCGTGTGCAAGGCCGACATTGAAAAGTACAACCAGCTCGTGCAGCTCCAAGTCAAGCGCAGCTTCCCGACGTGCAACACGTCGCGCTACTACGCCGCCGAGAACTCGTGGCCGCTGATTTTCTGCCACTTTACAAAGGACGGGGACCCCGAGTACGACCAAGTGAACGGCACCAACCTCGACGACCTCAAGAAGAACCTCGAGATCCAACTGCGCGACTACAACAACAACGAAAACAACACGGCCATGTACCTCGACTTGTTTGATGACGCGATCAAGCATGTCGCGCGCATTGTGCGTATTTTGCGCAACGAATCCGGGTACACACGTCCGCGCGGTCGATCGTTCGCTCAAGCGATGATGTAGGCACGCGCTCTTGGTCGGTGTCGGGGGCTCGGGGAAGCGGTCCTTGGCGCGGTTGGCGTCGCACATTTGCGAGTACACGGTCAAGCAGATTTCGATCTCGAGCAAGTATGGCGAGAACGAGTTCAAAGAAGATCTGCGCAAGATGTACATGGTCATCACCGACCAGTGCAGTCGCAGCGAAGAAAAAGGCGGCGTCGTCTTCCTTCTCACCGACTCGCAGATCACGAACGAGAAGTTTCTCATCTACTTGAACGATCTCCTCGCGTCCGGCGACATTCCGGACCTCTTTGCAACCGAAGATATGGACAATATCGTCCAAATGGTGTGCGTCATGGCCGGCACGAAGGAGCGCAAGGAAGTCATCAAGTTTTTTCAAAGCGAGATCCGCAAGCGCCTCCATCTCTGCCTCTGCTTTTCCCCTGTCGGCGACGACTTTCGCAGCCGCGCGCGCAAGTTTCCGGCGCTCGTCAACTGCACCGTCATTGATGGTTTCAGCCGTGGCCCAAAGAAGCGCTACTGAGTGTCGGGAAGGAAAAGCTCAAGGACATTAGCGACCTCCTTGGCTCGGACGAGTCGCGCGCTGGCATTGAAAACTTTATGCCGTTTTCGTTTGTCTCGGTGAATCAATGCGCCGAGCGTTTCTTTCAAGTCGAACGACGGTACATCTGCTCTCCATGGAATGAGCGCCAGCCAACACAATGGTCCTTGTAGGTATGTGTACACGACGCCCAAATCGTACCTCGAGCTCCTCCAGCTGTACAAGAACATTTTGAAAAAGAAGGTCAAGGAGTACGCCGGTGCGATCGAGCGTCTCGAGAAAGGGCTGCAAAAGCTCAAGGAAACGGGCGAGACGGTCGCGCGCCTTGAAGTGGAGCTGAAGGGGAAGCTCGAGCAAGCCGAAGACAAGAAGGCCGTTGCGTCCGGCATCGCTGAGACGGTCAACAAGGAAAAAGCCAAAGTCGAGGTTGAGTCCAAGAAGGCGGAGGAAGAAGCTGCCAAGTGCGCCATCATCCAAGCCGAAGTCACCGAGAAGCAGCGTTCGACCATGGAAGGTACGGTAGAGCGAACCAAGTTTTGTTGAAACACATGTTGGGTGATAGATTTGGCCAAGGCCGAGCCGGCGGTGCAGCAAGCCATGGAAGCCCTCGACTCGCTCAACAAGAAGGATCTCGGCGAGTGTAAGACCATGTCCAAGCCGCCGGTGGGTGTCGACGACGTCTTCGGAGCGACGATGGTGCTTCTGGCCGGCGTACATCCCAACGTCGTCGTGACCAAGCAAGGCAAGGTCAAGGACTTCAAGTGGGACGCGTGCAAGAAGCAAGTGCTCGGCAACATCCCAGAGTACATCGAGTACCTCCTCAAGTTCAAGGACCTCGTGGATGCCAACCAAATTCCAACGCAAAACTGGAAGGAAGTGCGCGAGTTCCTCGAGAAAGAGTACTTCAAGCCCGACATTATTGCGACGAAAAACAAAGCCGCCGCCGGTCTCTGCAGTTGGGTCGTCAACATCGTGATGTACTACGACATCCTCGTCACGGTCGAGCCCAAGCGGTGCGTCGCGCCTCCTCCCCGTCTCCACCGTCTCATCGTCCATCATAGTATGGCGCTGGCGGCGGCCAACTTGGAGCTCGAGGCCGCCAACAAGCGTCTCGGCGAAGTCACGTCGCTCGTTGCAGGTGCGCCATACGTCCATGACCACGCCTACAACAAGATGCGTAGATCTCAACGCCAAGCTCAGCAAGCTGCTTGAAGAAGCCGCCGCAGCCGAAAAAGAGAAGGAAGACGCTATCAACTCGGTCGAGCAAGGCAACCGCAAGATGAAGCTTGCCGGTACGCTCACCAAGGACCTCAGCTCGGAAAACGTGCGCTGGTACGATCACGACAACCGCGTTTCGACAGTCGGTGACGCGCGTGCATCACTAGGGGCATCAACGTCCTCCAGCTGCAGAAAGAGAAGGACCTGCTCGTGGGCGACTGTCTCTTGGCGTCTGCGTTCATCTCGTACATTGGTCCGTTCACCAAGCCGTTCCGGGACGAGCTCATCAATAAGCACTGGGTGCCATACCTGCGCAAGGCGGCGAATGGCAACTCGATCGCGATGAGCGAAGAGAGCAACCCTGTGTACATTCTCACCAACGACGCTGAGATCGCCGAGTGGAACACACAGCGTCTTCCTGCCGATCGCGTCTCGACGGAAAACGGGGCGATTGTCGTCAACACGGTCGCCATGGGTACGTGTCTCGTCCATCTGTCCGGGAAATTCTCAATTTTCGGGAAATTCTCAATATTGGACGTTGTAGGACGTCGGCCGCTCATCATCGACCCGCAGCTGCAAGCGATTGCGTGGATCCGCGAGAAGGAAGCACCGTTCAACCTCCAGATCGTGCGCATTGGCCAAAAGTTTTGGATCGAGAAGCTCAAGACGGCGCTCGGCACCAAGACGGCGTTCCTGATCGAAAACCTCGGCGAAAAATCGACGCGATCCTGGCGCCTGTCATCCAGCGCTCGACGTCCAAGCGCGGCAACCGCATTGAGATCACGGTCGGAGATGCGTCCGTGCCTTACTGCGACGAGTTTCGCTTGTACCTCCACACGAAGCTCGGGAACCCGCACTACCCGCCAGAGATCCAGGCCGAGTGTACCATGGTGAACTTTACCGTCACTGCGCTGGGCCTCGAAGACCAGCTGCTCAACCTCGTTGTCTCGAAAGAGCGCTCGGATCTCGCGATCAAGCGCGAGAAGCTCATTCAGCAGCAAACCAAGGCAAGATCGAGCTCAAGAAGCTCGAGGACATTATTCTGCAGTACCTCGCGGAAGCCGACGACGATATCACCAACAACCAGCCGCTCATCGCCATCTTGTCCGACACCAAGTACAAGGCGCAGATGACGCAAAACAACATGGAGGCGGCCAAGAAGACCCAAGAGAGCGTCAACATAACGAGCGAAAAGTACCGGTCGATCGCCGCACGCGGGTCGCTCCTCTTCTTCCTTATGATCGACCTCAGCAAAGTGCACTCGTACTACATCTACTCGCTCGCTGCGTTCCAGCAAGTCTTTCTCCAAGGCGTGTACAACCTCCCGATGGCGTCTCCCGTAGCCGACGAGCCCCCAGCCGACGCCGCAGTCGATGGCGAGGCACCGCCTCCGCCCGATGCGCCGCCCGCCGAAGAAACCACGATTGACTTTTCCGACGAAGATATCGCTGCGCGCTGCACAGGTGCGTCTCTTTTGATTTGCATGGGTCGTGGTAGGAGCTCGATCGCGTAGGCTTGATCTCCAGCATCACCATGTGTGTCTTCAACTACATTCGGCGCGGCCTCTTTGAGCGCGACAAGCTCACGGTCGCCACCATGCTCTGTCTCAAGATCTTGCTGCGCGACGGCGGCCTCGTCGACGCCGAGGTCGACGCCTTCCTCCTCGCAAAGTCTGTGGCCGAGCCGGGCAACATGGGCGTTCTCGCCGAGTGGTTGCCGCCGTCCTGTTTTGCCAAGCTCAAGGCGCTCGAGACGCTCAAGGTGTTTGCGACCGTGGCCGATGTCATGCAGAACGACCCGGACGAATGGCGCAAGTGGTTCGCAGCCGAAGACGCCGAGCAGTGCAAGCTCCCGGGCGACTTTACCAAGCTCACGCCGTTTCAAAAGATCATTCTGCTTCGCGCGCTCCGCCCCGATCGTGTCACGAACGCCCTCCGGCGCTTCATTCTGGACGCTCTCGGTATTTCTCGATGATGTGTTTTGATACTTTGATACCTAAAACACATTGTAGGTGAACAGTACGTGACGCAGCCGCCGTTCGATATGCTCCAGACGTTTGAAGAGACGAACCCAGCGATCCCGATCTTCTTTGTGCTCTTTCCCGGCGTGGACCCGACGCCGTGGGTCGAGGACCTTGGGCGCACCAAGGGCGTCAGCATCGAAAACGACAACTTTATCAACATTTCCATGGGCCAAGGTACGCAAGCCTAGCATCCGACGCGATATCTTAGCGACTTGTAGGCCAGGAACAGCATGCTGGCGACTGCCTCAAGAAGCTCGCAACCAAGGGCGGCTGGATCATTCTCCAGAACGTGCATCTCATGCAGTCGTGGCTGCCGATGCTCGAGCGCCAGCTCGAAGAGATCGTTGGCGAAGGACCGCACGAACTCTTCCGGTGCTTCATTTCGGCCGAGCCGCCGCCGATTCTGCTACCGCTCGAGCTCAATGTGCCCGAGTCGCTCATGCAGAGTTGCATCAAGGTCGCCAACGAGGCGCCCTCCGACATTCAGTCGAATCTCCGCCGTGCGTGGGCAACGTTTGGGGAAGACAAGGTCGATGCGTGCACGAAGCCCACCGAGTTCAAAGCTTGCCTCTTCTCGCTATGCTGGTTCCATGCCATCGTGCTCGGGCGTCGGCGCTTTGGGCAGCAAGGTTGGAGCCGCGCGTATAGCTTCAACACCGGCGATCTCACGATATGCGGCAATGTGCTGCAGAGTTACTTGGACAACAACGCGACTGTGCCGTGGGACGACATTCGATACATCTTTGGCGAAATCATGTACGGCGGGCACATCACCGACAGCTGGGATCGACGCACCAACAACACATACCTGACGGTGCTCATCAACCCAGGTTTGCTCAACGGTATGGAGCTTGGACCCGGCTTCAAGTCGCCCAATCCGGCCGAGTTTTCCTTCTCGGATTACGCGACGTACATTGAGAAGAACATGGTGCCCGAGTCCCCTCCGCTCTTTGGCTTGCACCCGAACGCCGAGATCGGGTACGTTGTCGATCGCAATTTTATGTATTTATGGCGGTCCATATCGTAGGTATCTCACGACGACGTGCGAGACGCTCTGCTACACGATTGTCAGTATCGGCGGCGGCGGTGGCAGCGGTGGTGGTGGCGGCTCGGACAAGACGGCGATGCTCAAGGCAACGATTGACGATTTCGAGGCGCGGACGCCCGAATTTTTCATGATGCTCGACTTGCAAGAAGTCGCAGCGCCCGGATTGACCCAGGACCACGGTACAACGACGCACATTTCTTGCGTTTCTATAGACGCTCGATGAATAGGTCCGTTTGTCGTCGTTGCGCTCCAAGAGTGCGACCGCATGAACGTACTTTTGGACGAGATTCGCAAGTCGCTGGCCGACCTCAAGAAGGGTCTGAACGGGCAGCTCAACATGTCGCAGTCCATGGAAGACCTCGCGACTGCGATTGGGCTGAACGAAGTGCCTGGTCGGAACCCGTTTTCTCAGTGCAAGTGGGAACGAAAGGCGTGGCCGAGCAAGAAATCGCTCTCTGGTTGGTTCGTGGACATGGTCAAGCGCCATGCACAGCTGCAGAAATGGGCCTCGGACTTTATTACGCCCTTCTCGCTCTGGCTCCCAGGGCTCTTCAACCCCACGGCGTACACGACCGCGTGTCTCCAAGTCACGTCACGCCGCAAGATGTACGGCGTGTGATGAATACACGATGGTTGTAACACTGAGCTGAATAGGATGCCGCTCAACAAGATGACGGTCGAGACGCACATGACGACGGTCATCAACGCTGATGCTATGACGTACTACCCCGACGACGGCGTCTTTGTCCACGGCCTCTTCATCGAAGGCGCGCGCTGGAGCACGGTGGATGAAATTCCGACCAAGTACAAGGTCGGAACGTCGCCGGCGACCGAGTGTGGTGGCATCGTCATGGACAGCAACCCAAAGGAGCTATTGTGGATGATGCCCGTCGTATATGTCAAGGCTGTCGAGACCAAGCCGCTGTGGGAGCCCACATCCGTGGGCTACTTGCGCCACGATCCTGAAATTTACGAGTGCCCCGTGTACCTCACTCGCTTCCGCGGTCCGACCTATGTCCTCCTCGCCACGCTGCCAACCGACTGCGGGCAAGAAAAGTGGGTCCTTCGTGGTGTAGCAATTCTCTTTCAAGACGACAATTAAACATCATGTCTATTTGTACAGCTTTTTACACGTTTTACTGGTCTTTACATAGTAAAGTAGCGTCATATATTGACAAATTGACGAATTAGAGACACGAAGATGGCGTGCTAGGTGACGTGAAAAAGCGTCGATATTTGCCCATGAATAAAGTGCTCAAAACGTACGATGGAAGCAGAGTGCCAGTACATCGGCTACAGTATGATGGGAAATAGTATAAATTGTTTTGTAGTGGTGATAAATGATTGTGAAATCGTAGTTTAGGTGAGGAATATTTCTGTATGTCGTCGGGATGTCAAAAAGAGAAGAAATGTATAAGAAAAATGACAAAAAAGACTCCCCGTACCGGGAATTGAACCCGGGTCACCCGCGTGACAGGCGGGTATACTAACCACTATACTAACGAGGATTGTATATACATCAGACACCACTAGAGATACCAATCTTCCAATATTATAACACTACCTTCTCACTACGCACATATACAACCTTCCGACGCCCAATACATTCATCTACGACGCATACACATACGTCCATATTCACGTCCTGCTCTATCAAACTCCTCCTCTCATACATCCTCTTCATTTTTACGACAAATCGCGCCCTCTCCCTTTCATTTGACTGACATCTTTTCAATGAGATATATAAGAGTCTTGATCTTCCATCATGTGTCATCCCTGCAACTACATGTGATGTGTCTTCAAATACATCGCAAAAAGTGCTTGTAATCGAAAAGGCAATAAATAGTCTGTCAATTTGAGACTTCACCGCCACCCAGCGCCAAAAAAAGACATTGTATTGCACTTGGAGCCTTTATATATCCTTCCAAACATATGCAAGTCTATGTAGAATCGAAAAATGATTTTTCCGATTTTCTCTATTTCCGACGAAAGACTGCCAAGCGGGCCCGGAGCCACGTTCACTGCGCTGATTGAGAAAAAAATTATTCGCGCTGAAACTTTCTGAGGTGCTTTGTTGAGGTCTTGAGAGGTCACATGCAAAATGACGTGCTCGAAAACCGCCTAGAAGTTGCGTTTTACGACCTTTGTATTTCGTACGGCGCGACGTTCAACAGCGGCCATATTTTGGGTGTCTGTGCGTTGTACGATAATCGTTTAGTAAAAGTAGCGTCATATATTGACAAATTGACGAATTAGAGACACGAAGATGGCGTGCTAGGTGACGTGAAAAAGCGTCGATATTTGCCCATGAATAAAGTGCTCAAAACGTACGATGGAAGCAGAGTGCCAGTACATCGGCTACAGTATGATGGGAAATAGTATAAATTGTTTTGTAGTGGTGATAAATGATTGTGAAATCGTAGTTTAGGTGAGGAATATTTCTGTATGTCGTCGGGATGTCAAAAAGAGAAGAAATGTATAAGAAAAATGACAAAAAAGACTCCCCGTCCGGGAATTGAACCCGGGTCACCCGCGTGACAGGCGGGTATACTAACCACTATACTAACGAGGATTGTATATACATCAGACACCACTAGAGATACCAATCTTCCAATATTATAACACTACCTTCTCACTACGCACATATACAACCTTCCGACGCCCAATACATTCATCTACGACGCATACACATACGTCCATATTCACGTCCTGCTCTATCAAACTCCTCCTCTCATACATCCTCTTCATTTTTACGACAAATCGCGCCCTCTCCCTTTCATTGACTGACATCTTTTCAATGAGATATATAAGAGTCTTGATTTTCCATCATGTGTCATCCCTGCAACTACATGTGATGTGTCTTCAAATACATCGCAAAAAGTGCTTGTAATCGAAAAGGCAATAAATAGTCTGTCAATTTGAGACTTCACCGCCACCCAGCGCCAAAAAAAGACATTGTATTGCACTTGGAGCCTTTATATATCCTTCCAAACATATGCAAGTCTATGTAGAATCGAAAAATGATTTTTCCGATTTTCTCTATTTCCGACGAAAGACTGCCAAGCGGGCCCGGAGCCACGTTCACTGCGCTGATTGAGAAAAAAATTATTCGCGCTGAAACTTTCTGAGGTGCTTTGTTGAGGTCTTGAGATGTCACATGCAAAATGACGTGCTCGAAAACCGCCTAGAAGTTGCGTTTTACGACCTTTGTATTTCGTACGGCGCGACGTTCAACAGCGGCCATATTTTGGGTGTCTGTGCGTTGTACGATAATCGTTTAGTAAAGTAGCGTCATATATTGACAAATTGACGAATTAGAGACACGAAGATGGCGTGCTAGGTGACGTGAAAAAGCGTCGATATTTGCCCATGAATAAAGTGCTCAAAACGTACGATGGAAGCAGAGTGCCAGTACATCGGCTACAGTATGATGGGAAATAGTATAAATTGTTTTGTAGTGGTGATAAATGATTGTGAAATCGTAGTTTAGGTGAGGAATATTTCTGTATGTCGTCGGGATGTCAAAAAGAGAAGAAATGTATAAGAAAAATGACAAAAAAGACTCCCCGTCCGGGAATTGAACCCGGGTCACCCGCGTGACAGGCGGGTATACTAACCACTATACTAACGAGGATTGTATATACATCAGACACCACTAGAGATACCAATCTTCCAATATTATAACACTACCTTCTCACTACGCACATATACAACCTTCCGACGCCCAATACATTCATCTACGACGCATACACATACGTCCATATTCACGTCCTGCTCTATCAAACTCCTCCTCTCATACATCCTCTTCATTTTTACGACAAATCGCGCCCTCTCCCTTTCATTGACTGACAT